ATACTACTGGAAAAGCTGTATAAGTATGGTATCAGAAACTGTCCTCTAAATTGGATAAAATCATTTATACTCAAACGTACACAATATGTAGCCATCAACACTCATTTCTCACAGCAAACTGAAACAGACATTGGTGTCCCTCAGGGGTCCATATTGGGGCCAATTCTGTTCCTTTTCTATAATAATGATTTGGATAAACTTTCTGTACCTGCATCCTTCACAATGTACGCTGAAAAAATGGATCCTTCTTTGCGTGATAAATGCAATGAAGTGTTGACTTCTTAAACGCAAGCACTGAGATTTCACCATATCCAAAAAGAATGTAATGAGTTGTCATTCCAATCAAACGAATCGAGTCCATCGATCTCAACTAGTTCGGGTCTAACAATTTTCTTAGGATTACGAATAGATGAAAATCTCAATTGGAAGGCTCACTCCTATTACCTAATCTCAACATTGAATTCGATTGCCTTTCAATTTAGAAATTTGCGGCATGTACTCAATATTGATCAATTGATACAGCTCTACTATGCACAAGTTGAAAATAGGCTACGATACGGTGTGATATTTTGGGGTTTATATACCCTAGCAAAAGATATCTTCGTGGCACAAAAACGAATGTTACGATCAATGACGAGGTTTCACAGACTGATTCATGCAAAGATATATTCAAGAGACTGAAAATATCAACGTTACCAAGTGTAGTCATATCAGAGTTGAGTATGCTAGTGTTCGACAATAATGATGAAATTTATGTGAGGAACAAACAAAATCATAGTTTCAATACAAGACTAAAGAATGATTTTTCAATTCCATTCGGAAAATTCAAAATAACTCACCAATCTCCCAGTCATATGGCTCCTAAAATATACAATGCTCTTTCTTCAAATGTGAGAAACTGCATGACAAAACAATCATTCAAATATAATTTAAAATCATTTTTGGCAGAACAGTGTTTTTATAAACTGGATGAATCTTTGTCGTTGCAATTTGCGGTGAAATCAATTTTTTAGTGATAGTATTAGTATTATTGTATTTTAAATGTAAACAAGTGACTTTTTCCATATGGTTTGTAACTGTCTTAAGGAAATAAATGATTATTATTATTATTATTATGTTTTCACCTCCAGATATTATCAGATGGTGGATGGTGACAATACCCAAAGAAAGTCGATAAAAATGACTTTCGTTCAATAGTTTATTTCGTGGAATCCCAATCCAAAAATAACTAGAAAATTCATTCATTCGAAAACAGTAAAACTATATCACCTTAATGTTTATTCAAAGCTTCATAAATATACAATACAGCATAATTAAATGAACTGGCTTTGATTTGGTATTGACTGTAGATTGACCAGCAAGAAATTTATCAGATTATAATACCAAGGTAAGTAGGCTATCCCGGCAACAAAATATTTACAATAAAGAGACCTTGTTATCTTCCTACTCGAGTGCTTTCAACCGTTATCTGAGTACATGTCATGAATTACATCATGTTGTAATTTAGTAAGTACTCAAGTAACTGGAATATGGAAATGATGAACACGTGGAGGTTGGGCACATATTTCGTATAGATGTTCTGCGAAGAGTACGTTTATAGAATTATGTAAGGGTAGATCTTCTATGGCTTCGCTGCTCATCCCTCAAATAATGTTGACAAAAATTGTCTACATTATGAACGGTAGTTTTGAGTAAAGTATTATGTGAAGGAGTTTGGCATTGTGAAAATTCCATTCACTACAGCCTTGCCGTAATTTACTGATCTAAAGTTTACTGGACATTCATTTCCATTGCAATAATTGCTCATGCAATATGTATAGGTATATCTACTCAGGAATATTTCAGTCATGGCGCAAGAATCTATATGTTACCAGGAGCCAAGCAGTATCAACATTTCTGAATGATCCTGGCAGGCCATGAATGATGAACCCCTCAGCGAAGTTCAGAGGTTTAGATAAGCGAAAGTCTTCAATGTTCTTGAAGAAGGGCTTATCCTTGTGTTGTTGCAGAGGTGAAGATATTTCTTTGACTTCTAATTGTATGATGCTAAGCCATTCATCTTAGTCTGTTAATATATCTAAGAGTGACACCAAAACTGATCCAAGAATGACATGGGGAACTGAAACAACTGCCGAACAGGAACATTTTGACTCTATACTGGATGACACACAAATAAGCTGATGAGAAGATGAGTAGATGCAGATCATCAACTCAATGCATGATTATGGGGGTACTAAAATAATTGCTTCGAACTCGGATCAAAAAAAAGACTAATCATAACATTGGATACTGACTGCTCTTGAGAGAATGTCTGAACAAAATATAATGGATACCTCAACTGCTTAAAATGCAACAAAGCACAAAGGTAGCCCGTCGTATGCACATGTATGCGAGGTATTGATTCACAGGAGGAAAGCAACTGAGAGTTCTTAGGTTGCAAAGTCTTCCACACAAAGAAGACAGCTCAGTTGGCTTCAAAGCAACAACAAAGTAATATTGATGTATCAGGCTACAAGATCGGCATACCCAAAAAATCATTAGGACAGAATTGAATTGCCCCTCCTGAATATTGTACTCACGACCAAAATGTGTCGAATTAAAGAACTACTTCCTCGCCTACTGCAATTTGGGCTCGAAATAAAGCATCGTGAGAAGTTGTATTTGTATCGATTACAGAGATATCTTGCTGACTCATTAAGATCTATATATTTCAGCATTCAACCTGTGTTCCTTCAGAAAAAAATGATTGACTCATACAGAGAACTTGTTTTACAGCAGTGTGAAGCAGTTTGAAGTTTAGGGAATTCATGACAATGTCAGTTAAATGCATTGGAACGAATTCATTCAACAGAGAAATTATGTTTTTGTGTGTTCATTGTAGATAAGATACCTAGTACTTGTGATGCATTGTTTGGAACCTTTGTTGAAGTAATGAATTTTACTGGAGTTTTTTCCCAACACCGAACCGTTATTCTAACACCTCGACACGTGCACCAAGTGATCCTCTACAAGAGGAAGATCAAATGTTCATGAAGTTTTTTTTTCCCAACACCAAACTGTTATTTTAACACCTCGACACGTGTTTCGATCACCAAGTGATCATCTTCAAGAGAAAGATCAGATGTTCTTCAAGATCTGTCTCTTGAAGATGATCACTTGGTGATCGAAATACGTGTCGGTTTGGTGTTGGGAAAATACTCCAGTAATATTCAAGATACCTACTGTTCATATGAACTCGCAAATATCAATCATTGTGTTACTTAAGTTGTGATACTCATTCGTCTCATTGATAAGATGGATACACTCAATGCTCATGAGCTCATGAGTAGATTATGATGATATTTTTCGAGAGGAAGTTGAGGAAAACGGTGAATGGTATACAATACTAGAGTTTCAGTAGTAATTAGCTGAAATTGGAATAGTTAAGAAGAAGAACCAGAAACATACTTATGATATGACATGATATGAGTCTAAGAAGGTGTACAAGTTGATATATGAAATGATATATGTGTCACTTATAGACTAAAGGTGACAACCCACAGCGTAAGTCACGTTGTATATCTTCAGTTGAGTGAAATAAAAACATAATTTTATTGTTTTAAATGTTTGAATATATCATGGACTATATAATCGACCATCTTATCTTCTACCCAAAAAATAATTTATTTCACATCAGGCACCTCGCAGGGTTGCCGGTTAAAACAAAAGTAATAAGAATTGTCATTTAACATGAGTTTTAACACTTATCAATATTCATTAAGCAGTAAGTACGGATAACATTCTACGAACAGATAGTTTCTGGATGAGTTTCTACTGAAATATACAAAAGAAGTAATCTGATAGAAAAGGAAATATTTTTTAAGAGAAATTCGTTTCCGGAAAAACTTCTTAACTTTCAATCACATCAATAAAGCTGATAGATTTGATAGAGTTATTTCTATTGTGCTGAAGAATAAAGGCTGTCAATGGAAAACTAATAGTTTCAAGTGCCTTGTCTTTTGGTGACTAGTTTTGTTGAAATGATTTCATTTCAGTACTACACCACAACAGTTGTGGTGTTATAATTCTACACTTCATTTGTTGCATTAACCTGAAAAATTGGAACTGAGGTTGTAAAAATAACAATAAATTGTTTTGTATTTATGTGCTGTCAGTTTTTTGAGGTTATTTGTCATTGTCAAAGTCCTACAGAGTAATGTCAAGGCATTCATTTGTGACAGTTTTGACTAAAGACCAAAAAGCACAGGATCTTTCACTTTTGATTGATATAAATATTTAATTTTTTCTTTCATTGCCTTCAATTCATGATGAAAACAAAAAGCATGGAGAATAATCTCACCATACGTTTGGTATCAGACTATATCATCTTTTTTTGATTCAGACACTCTTCTGAGTATTGTTTGGTATTTTGACAGACGTTAGATAACCATTATTATAATAACAATGATCAAATTGGAATTTTGTGACGAATTGAGATTTGACTGACATAATAAACGCAAATTGAATCAATAAACTTAGGATTATACAGCACTGGCTCCACGACCAGTAAACCGGTTTGATGCCGGGACATCCTGCCACTTGAATATGAGTTCAGATCGAAGCAAATGAAGTAAGCATTTATGGAGATGATGTAAATATGGTTTCGAAAGAGCTTGGCGCATACTAAATGCTGAAACACATCACACAAATAGCCGACAATGAAAAACTGAGAAAGTAATTACCTACTATAAATACCACGTGAATAATTTTGGTGGTATTTGAAAATCATTTCCATCAATCAATAGGGAATGGCGCCAGACTTAACATAATTTTTTTATTCTCGCTCCACACATGAGTTTATAGATTTTGTAATACTCAATAACAGCGAAAATCTAAAATTCAATCGTTCCCAAATTCTATAATTACCATATTAAATCACGGATTTGTTTCTTCTAACTATTCAGAAATAAATTTGAATTTCAACATTTTAACAATAACTGCATCACCCTGTAGATACTTACGAGCTGTCGTTGAAATCGGTATTCCAATTTCGATGCACGTTCACTCACAAACCTACCTCACAGGCGTTTTTCGTACACTGCTATACACAACACTTCGTCCTGCAATCCTGCTACGCTACTTTGCCCCTCCAACGGCTACGTCACTAATCAAAGGCAAACTTGTTGAATGTCCTGACCATTTATGATGACTCTGGACAGGTTTACTATTTTTGCATTGCCTACACAATGGGTCTTACTGAAAGAAAGTCTCACCGTTCAGTTTATGACACGTGTAGGTCTGTCCACTTTTCTGCGGGATTTTTGAAACAGCTCTAATGTCATGTTTCTGATATTTCGAACAGTGGATTCGTCTTTGGTGTTGGGCATGATCTGAAGATCAAGTGGGTCGAAGGAAACAGCTATTGTTTCATTGAGGATCGTTTCGTATTGTTTTTTAATGAACGTAGGTTCGAATTATTGAATTATTCGTTAGTCGGTTTGGCAGTCTGCTTGGTCAAAATTTCGATAAAGTTTGTCATCAAGTCTCTGGTGGATACATCTCATAATGTACGAGAAAATTATTTTCATAAGAATATTCGGAAAATTTGAGAATGAAAAATATAATTTCTTCTCATCAAATTTCAATAGGGAAAATGCATCTTACATATTTATGGAACCTATATTTCTTCACTACAATAATTCATGATCTCAGCCGTATTTCCATTCGCTAGATACCTATAACATTACATAAAAATGTGAAAGCAAATTATTTATAGCATAATAATAATAATCAATCGACATAACGCGGCCCTAAGAGTGCTATATTACCATCTACGGCATTCTTACGGTATTGACGAAACACCGCTGTTGACCTACGCTCCGGGGGATATTGAATTCGTTGTGGACAACGAGTAGTGCCGAATTTATTGGAACTATTCGTTTCCCACCCTGAGGCTCATACAAGATGATAAGCCTTATGTAGTCCTTCTTGACCACCAGAGCAAAACGATATTTGTCGTGGAGTTTTCAGCTCCTGGCGAGACGGATATCATCAAAACAGAGGAGGAAAAACGAATGAAATATCGAGAGTTTCTCTTCGAACTCCGCAGACTCTATCAAGATCACTCTGTCAAGATGGTTGTTCTGATTATTGGAGTCCTTGGTGGAATGATGCCCTTTCTTCCCTCGAATCTTCTGCCTTAGTGAGGCTTGCCGCACTAAGGCACAAATCTTAGCCGGACAGATGCAAAAGGCTATCATTCTTGGCTCACTGCGCTCACTCAGGGCACATGATTCTAGGACCCGATGATCACTTACGCCACGGTGTGGGGAGTGGTCGTTGGTTGATAATGCTGGCGCCGCCCGCGCCCTCCCTAATGTATCGGGGCTTCAGGGAATAGGGTCTGACCAGCGCATACTTCGGTAAAAAAAATAAGGTTTATCCACAGTAAACAACATATATGTACATACAAAAATTCTTTTTAAATACACAGTTATTCATTAAATTAAGATAAGAGGTGAATAAACAGGGAAAAAACACAGGAGTAGCTGTAAAAGCTGTGTGTATGAAGGAAATATCAAATAAAGTTTAATATAACAGTACAAGTATCTAATATGAAGTCAAAATCATAATTATGGTGAAATATGGAGTTAGACATAATCGATAAAAAATAAAATCTCTAATATCTAAGTATGTTTGTATCAAAACAACCACGATACAATTAATTACATTCTAATTCTGAGGTGTTTCTCTGACCCTACAGTAAGGTCACTAGGAGACATCTCCCTTATATCGGCAGGTATAGGCCAAGACTCTCTTATTGACGATAACTCCGAACGCTCACATGAGACATGCCTGACAGTTTCATCTTCCTGTTCACACATCCTGCATAGGGGTGTGTCCACTAGCGCCATAATACAGAGGTTTCCTTGGTTGACAGAGACCAGTCAGAAATCCTACTGTTAAGCGTAGGTTTCTCCTGGTCATCGCCAGATATTTCATCGGCTCCAGCTTCCCAGAGTCGTCCAGGGCACCCTGGGCACGTACTTATGTACGGTACCCAGGGTGATTCTGGCAAGACTGCATCCTTTAATTCCATCCCATCTCTTTAGGGACTGAACATGGGTGTGACGTTTGGCTAGTTCCGCAATTGTCGAAGTCATCAGCACAGGCCGTAGGTGTCACTGGCTCCTAAAATTCTTAGTCCAGCCGCTTTTTTGTTTTCGTTCTGAATAACTTATAAACAGATATATTCTTCAGCTCATTTGGTTACAAACTATAAAGGTTATTTATTAAATATGTGGCAAAAATTCAAGGGACTATCTGTTGGACTTTTCTAAGGATTTTGTCCTTTCTTGATTTTTGATATCGCTCTTTGTTTCGAAGATACGGAGCGAAAAAGAATTTTGACAGCACTTTTATTTATTTATTTCTGACCGGGATATTATAAGCTCATATCGTCATAGTTACGCTATCAATAAAGAGGGTCATAACTCCCTTGGGACATTATAGATTTTATAATTCCCTCTACCTTTCACAAGTAAAAATAAATAGAATAAAAATGAACAAAATTTTATTGAAATCGGTCAGAAATAAAATTATCTATGTACCACGGGAATTAATGAGCCTTAATAACCTCAGGCAATTGCTGTCCCTCGGGCCAGAGGCCCTCGGGACGCAAACTTTGCCATCAGTAATTAAGGCCCTCCTAATTCCCTTGATACATAAATAACTATAATGCCTTCTAAATTTGGACTGTATTCACCTGATCTGTTGTACCCATGACTTCGGTGCTTGACTTTGCCGACTCACCGATTTTGCACAGTTCCTCTGTTCGGTCCAATGCAACATTGTCCTCTTTCTCTACAACATTGTGACATTATCATTGTCACAATTAAACTTTCCTGTAACGTTTCTAATTCACTTTTATCTATTTGTTGTTTGAGATTGGTGTAAAATTTTTTGTTGACTGACCTGGTTCCTGTTTATAGCTGAAGTATTTGCAGCGCTGATACGCAACGTTTTCTTTTCCTTGAGATTCAAATTTCTGTAAAAGAACCGACAGTTTGTTTTTATCACTATCTGCTATTTTAAATGAAGAAAATATTTTGAGTCCCTCTTCTCCTATGTAGTGAAGTAATTGGACCCATTGCGTTTCTTCGGGATTCTTGGAAACCTCTGCAGAAATTAAGTAATTTTGGAAACGAGCTTTCCAAAGCCGCCATTTTTTCGCCACATTGCCTGTATATATCATAGGTGCAACTCCTCGACTGTCACCCACCTAGATTTATGAATTTGCTAAATATAATTACTTTTCAGGAGTACCTGACTGCGCCATGTAACTGGTTTGGTCAACTTACGATTAGGATCGATGATAACTTTTTAAATATGTTTGAGAAAATGTTTAAAATATTCTTTTTCGTTAACCAACTATTGCAACCCTACGAACGCCAACCCTCAGAAGTCGAAAATTGTGCGAGCTAAGGGCTAACGAGGTGTTACCTTTTAACATGTGATTCTTAACACGGCTTGGACGATAGCAAAGGAAAATCGAACGTTCAGCCTGCGGCTTGAACCATCGACTCACACATCGGCCGATTGACTGAGTGAACAAAGCACCCACGTCGAACCGACTGGCTACCGACCGACCAAAGATATCATTAACTACTAGGTTCGATTGTAATCATTTATTAACCATGCCCACTCTGACATCTGACATAACATATTTGACATCTGACAGGAGACACCTGACACTACCTACATTCAATTAGCTTTTTTTTTCTCTCACAGCTCATTTTTTGAGTTTAGCGCTGCTTGCGACAAGCAAAACAAAGAAAACGTCTGGTGTTGTGGAAAACAATTCATGGATTCTGCATCACGATGATGCTCCTGCTCACTCGTCATTGTTTCTTCGTGATTTTTTGTCCCAAAACAACACTGTTATCATGCCACCGTATTCAATAGATTTATCCCCCTGAGACTTTTTTCTGTCCCAAGATTGAAGAGACTCATGGGAGGATGGCGTTTTGCGACGATTGAGGAGATGAAAACCGAATCGATGAAAGAGCTCAAGGACATACCTTCCAAGAAAAAACGCTAGCACAAGTGTATTATAAATTAGGGGACTAATTTGGAGAAGAAAAATAGAAATTAATGAATAAATGAATATTTTTTTGAGGCAAATCAAAATTCACACTTCACACTGCATAATATTGATTTCATATATGAATTTACACATTTTCCTTCCGTTTTTTGATATTATCTCCTTCAACAATCTCATCCGATCTTTGTGTTCGTAGTATTTTCAATAGTTCATTAGTTTTTTTCTATTACCATTTTGTTACATTGTCATTGTCAACCACATTCAAATAATGTGATTTTTAGCTAGTAGTTATGATCACAATGTTATACCTAATACATTTTCTGAACAGTGTCAAAACCTTGAGCAGTTCAATTCAATTATTCGACATGATACCAAATTAAATAATTGAAGCGATTGGTAACATCGATTAAAGAGAAAATCGTATTTCATTGTCCATGGGACTCCCGTATTTGGCATTACATCTCGTCTAGGTCAAGCGGTAAATGACTCATATTACCATCCCACTTCTTTTTCGCCCACCGTCGCAAAATAAGCCGATGTGACCCAAATAAGATGCCCATATGGTTGCGTTAGAAAAAGATATTCAATTTTATTAGATGATTTGATTGTTCTGGATCGGCCCTTCTATTGCAAGGTAGAAATAACGTAAAAGCATAATTATCTTTGCTAGTCAATAAAATGTATGAACCAATTCTATTATTAAGTTAATAAGTTAGGTTATATACAATGTGATTCAAATAAAGTGTTCGCCATCGGTTACTTTTAAAATAGCATATTTCTACCACCTATAAACCTGACAGAAGGAACAAAACAATTGGGAATCATGTTTTCAAGTTTTGAAGAAAAATATTGTTGAACGGATTCTAACTCGATGACAGAGCTACCCTATTGGGTAGCTACACTCAAAAGAAAAACAACTCTTCTCTTTCATGGTCGCAGATCATGGATAGAAAGGGATCCAAACTGCTGGTGACTCTACAGGCTTTATCCAGTAATTTTCTGTCATGCAGACAAAACTCAAAAGTTCACGGCTTCCTTGTTGTCAGGGGAAGTACGACCGTGGAACGAATGATTTTGGATGCAAAGTCCTATGATGAGGATGAGGATACATCATTTTTTGAGTTTTTACGTTGAGTCGATATAGCTCCTTCTGCGTCCACTTCACTACTCCAAACGAGTAGAGTGAGACTGAAACGGCAAGCATATTTTTAGCAGCAACTCTGTTCTTCCCCGACAGCTCCGATAACCAGATCTGATAATTTTGATAATTCAGTATCAGAGTTTTCGCTCACGAAACGAATCCAAAAGTAGATATTTGTGTATAAAGCTGTATTATGAGTTATTGTGATGCTGATAAAATATATCCTTCATCACCAATACCAGACAAGTGATGGAAAGTAGAAGATAATTAAAATTTTAGGCAACATTCTTATTTGTCTTCAAGAGAATCTATTTCATTACGTGTGCCGCCATCTGGCAATGAGTAGCTTTTCTACTGCAAATTCACGTAAGTTTGAAACCAGAGCAATAGAGGACGGATCTGCTCTTCTTAATTGACCATATTCTTCGTTTCTAAAATACCATATTACGTCAAAAAATGAGAAACGTCAAGATGTATAAAATATTTCTGATGGACGCGATCACTTGAGCATTTCTGTCTTATGGAATATATTGTCAAAACTAATAGGAATATCGAATTTTAATGAATGTTGTTCACATTTGGAAATAAATTGATATTAAGTTACGGTTTTTTACATTACAATCCATGAATTGAATATCTGAACAAAGTACGCGAGATAGAGGCCTAAGTTTTCATCATCTATCAACATGCGAAAAAGTTTGGGTCAATGTAAGATGTATAGAAATCCTGGTGTTTTACCACCCGCTGTTGTTTTGTCAATAATTCTCAACGCTATAAATGAGATTGGCCTAGTTTCGTACACATGTTGATAGATGGTGCAAGAACCGAAAGCAGTTGCGCGTATTTTGTTATATCTGATTTATGGGTCAGAATTTGAAAAAAAAAATTTCACATATTTCCTACTATCAATTCATTTCTCAATAACATTAAAAATGGAAGTACAACTGTTTCTTGTCTGTTGTCAGTGGTTGTGTTCTTTTAATATTAAACACGTTTGTTGGAGTTCGAGAGTTGCAGCATCGTTTGTGATTTTATTACATGCTGTATATTTTATGTCAATTTGAGTTTGTTAGTTACAAGTTTGTTTACATATATGACAGGACAATTGTTTTTGAGATAGTAGAAATAAAACTGTAAAAGTACAAAAAAATATCTCAGTTTTTCTATATAATTCTCCACACTCAACATAAAATGGCGACTGTGACAGGACAATACGTGGAGGATCCATCAAGGTTGAAGAAAAAACGAGGTATCTTGAGGAAAATGTTTAAAAAATTATAATTATAATTTTAATAATCAACGAGTTGGAACTGGAACTGAATGCTCAGCCGATAGCAAAGCCTAGTATACTGGCCCTCTTAACACAGATTGAAGATGAAGGTTCCAGATTATTCGTCATTGATGAGCAAATCCAAATGGTGACAACAGATGATGAAGAGTTCGAGAAAGAGTTTGAAGAGAATGAAAAGTTTCGTGAGAATTTGATAATGTATAGGTCGAAGTGCGAGTTTGCCCTAGTAAATATACCGAATCAAGATATAGGAAATGCCAGTACAATTGGAACATCAAATGTCAAGCGACATCTCAAATTGCCAAAAATAGAGTTGAAGAAATTTGATAGGGACGTTCGAAAATGGATTGGCTTCTAGGGGAAATTTCGAAAAATCCATGAAGACACTGAGCGTGATAATGAAGACAAATTCCAATATTTAGTGCTTTCCATGAAAGCCAGGTTTGCACAAGACGAATTTCTTATATAGGTTTACGTCAGGGAACTGTTGAATTTGGTATTGAAACAGGCCACCAATAATAAATCAGGTATGTCATTAGCTTCTTTATTCGACAAATTAGAGACACAATTGAGAGCTTTAGAGTCATTAGGAGTAACTAGTGATGAATATGCTGCTATGTTGTTTCCACTAGCCAAATCTGCCCTTCCAGAAGATGTTCTAAGAGCTTGGGAGAGACACAGGAGCAATATCAAAGCCAATAATTTGGGTTCTAGTACAGATAAATCTATTAATTATTTAGATACTTTATTAAATTTTCTCCGTTCCGAAGTGGAAAGTGAAGAACGCATTAGTCTAGCCAGAACCAGTTTTGCTGTTGAAAAGGACACAAAGAATTGGACGGAAAGTAAGTCATGTACTGATAAGCCATGAACTGAGAAAAGTAAATACACCGGAGGTGAGCCAAGTCTTTTCACAGCTGCTACAAAATTTTTTCGACAGAAAAACATGGTAAGAAAGCTACAATTTGTTTATTTTGTGAAGGTAAATCTCATTGAAGCCAAGATTGCATCAAAGCTAGGTCATTTTCTGTTAAAGAAAGAAAAGAAATTGTTTCAAAAAAGAATGCTTGCTTTTGTTGTTTAAAACTCAACCACAGTGCAGAGCATGCCATTTTGAATTAGTGCAGTCTCTTTCAAATGAAGCTTTTCTACAGGCACTAAGACGATTTATTGCTAGGAGGGAGAGAGTATCAGTGATTTATTCCGATAACGGAACCAATTACGTGGGAGCCAATAACCAAATGAAAAACTCAGATTGGAAAGAAATTTTGAAACACTCATCAGTTCAACGAATCACCTGGAAATTCAACGTCAGTTCAGCACCCTGGTGGGGTGGATGTGGGAGCGTATCGTGAGAATGACCAAGGAACTTTTGAGAAGAAATCTAGGAAAGAAAACCGTCGATTATGAAGAACTTCTGACACTGCTTTGTGACTGCGAATCGATTATAAATTCAAGGCCACTCACATATGTTTCGGACAATACAAATGAACTGATTCCCGTAACACCGTCATCTTTTCTACAGAGCATCCCAACCTCAGAAGTACCAGATATAGATCAAATTGGAAGAACAAGCATCAAGAAGAGATTCCGATATTCGCAGAAAATTCGAGAAAATCTTCGTGAGAGATTCAGGAATGTATATCTGGCAAATTATTATATTATATTACAAAGAAAATGTAATAAGTTGGTTGTAGGTGATGTAGTTTTCATTGGATCTGACAATACCAAGAGAATTAGTTGACCGAAGGAAAGAATAGAAATTTACCCTGGAAAGGGCAAGATTGCCAGAGTAGCTCGAATCAAATTAGCTACAGGTGAATTAATACGCCCGTTTCAACGAATCTACCCACTAAAAATTTCAAACTCTAATGGAGAACCAGAAATACTAGGCAAACTTGTAAAACGACCCATTTCAAATTCCAAAGTAACTCCGTATGAAGACGAAACAACCAAAGATCATCCAAATCAGGAAAGCAAACAATCTTCAACTACAGGAGAAGAAAGGGTTCCAGAGAAAGCCGTCCCTGTGTGTACTAGGTCAGGACGATTGGTCAAGGTTCCTGATCGATATATGAGTTAGCTGTTTTGCAATTCAACATTGAAAAAGGTGAAATAATGTTGGAGTTCGAGAGTTGCAGCATCGTTTGTGATTTTATTACATGCTGTATATTTCATGTTAATTTGAGTTTGTTAGTTACAAGTTTGTTTACATATATGATAGGACAATTGTTTTTGAGATAGTGAAAATAAAAAACTGTAAAAGTCTAAAAAAATATCTCAGTTTTTCTATACAATTCTCCACACTCAACAACGTTTATAAATCACAATATAATTTTTTTTTTTGTGTTTTGTTTATTATAAAGAACACATGGACTAAATAAGGTTTGTAGGCTACTCTTAGCAAATAACATCAAATGGCCAGCGACGTGGCCATTTGATGTCATCATCAAACATGAGTTGAAGAATGTGATTGAAAATGCTGGTTTGTATTGAAAAATTCAAATTTCAGGGTGGCTGGAGGAATATATTACCCAGTAAAACATTTCGTTAAGCATATTTCTACAGCACGATAGAAGTCGCAATGAGTGTTAAAAGGTTTTAGAAATCAATTCAGTTGAACCTTGTACTTGAATGAATGATATGTATAAAACGAGATATCATAAGATCCCCTTCTATTTGAGAAAAATAATTTGGTAGCGGATTCTCACCGATGAGTGTTGCAACACTTTTTCAAAAAGTAATGAAAATGATGCATTTTTGAATGAATTTTGTCTGACCTTGATATCTTGTCCAGTTCAAAAGTTAAAGACTATTCACGTTCACATTATGTATATTGTTGATGAATTGGCTACATTCAACTATCGTTGAACCCTTTCGTTTGGTGTCCAAATATGGAACATGCGACTACTATCAACCAGTGAAACCATTCGTTTGCAATAATTACTAGCATATGGGAAGTGTCCGATACATGAAGCAGTAATTTCTGCTAAGTATTTAGCCCTTGAATTCTTCATATATACATCCCATCAGTGTTGTGTAATGGTACAATATGTCTCAGTAGTGGAAGTCTTACAAAAATTCGACTACTGCGAGAAAAAAATTACTTTTATTGAAATCAGAAAATAACAAATATATGAATGGAAAGGTAAATAATAATCTTTGCATAACGTTTAGTTACCAGCTAGGTATATAGTTTTGGTAAAGACTATTTCATTTTGGCTGTATCGGAAACATCTTCCCGATCTGCCACTAAAACACCTTATTACAATCTCAATTAGCTGCTCTGCAAGTGAAACAACAAGCAGAAACAATAGAGTTGATATCTGCAGTCATCATCAATCTATAGAATATATTTCTCCCCCATTTCGCGTACTCCTGATATGTCATGAACTGTGATTTTCTGATCAACTAAGTCAGGGCAGCTGCACGCTTCCTTTTCTTCAGATGTTGTCTTTTTTATAATCCCAACAGTGTTTAAATTAAACTTGTTCACGTATGTTTGTACAATCGGCAATATGTAAGAATTAATTTTTTGGAATAATTTTATTGAATACATGGAACTCACTCTATCCTGAAGTTATTTGGAGTCCTCCATCCGATCTATTTTCGTTCTGCCACAGTAACCCTTTCATTATTTTCCAGACCCTAAAATTTTCATTATCTAGAGCTTCTGTTGAAAAAACTGTTCAAATCTGTTTTCCCTTCAACTAGCTGTCACTTCCCTACGAAAAATACACGTAGAAACTAGTACGAGTTGAGTATTATTGAGGCCTCACCTTTTAACGTTAGCTAGGGAAGCTATAGATTATGCTGTAGACGACCCCTCCCGATATAGAAGGACCCGACACTCTGTCGAATTAGGCCCTCATGTCCCCCGTTAAAGGACGAATAGATTTTTCATCCATCCCACCCCAGCCAGGTAGGGGTACCCCGTGAAGGGCGATACTGATGTCTGAGCCAACCTGCTTGAACTGAAGACGACTTTCCTCACGTTTTAACGTGCCATATCTAGCACAGATCTTCAAGTTCAGATTTAACTTGTTGATCATCGTCACTAGGAACATATTATGAGTCGATGTCAAAATCTTCAAATGGTTCATTAGTATTTGAGATGTCACGAAGGTTTTCAGCAATAACTAGGACAAGTAGTTCCACTTTCAAGTGGACAATCAATTTCTATAAACCAAAAATTTGAGGTTATGATTGAGTAATGGGTGTTGCCTGAATTCGGGATGTTCGTGAATCATTGTAATTTACATGGATGGATGTTGCCTGAATTCGAGATGTTCGTAAATTACTGTAATTTACATGGATTAATCAGTGACTTTAAAATATGGATTGACTATTGAAGAGAGAACAATGACTCCAGTAACTAAACAGAGATGAAGAGATTCTTGTCTTGTCTCATTCACTTAACGTCAGATACAACGTCACTATGCTTTGCGTGTTGCATGCATACCTACATGTCCTACTGAAACTTGAACTGTACGGAAAATGAAGACTTGATTGTTTTAGAATGATGGAAGCGTTGAAAACCAAACCTACACTAGCAATGGAGACACTCTTGAATCTACAACATTCACATCTTCTAATAACTGAGGTGATAAGGGTGCGCTTGTCACAAGAGTGGATGAAGAATATTAATTACGACAATATGTTCTGTGAGTGTACTGATCACAAAATCGTTCAATAAGAAACAAAAAAGGTTCTGGGAAAACACAGTGGAAGACGGGACAAGCTTTGAGAAGGGATAGTTTCAAAAAAGAACTGAAGAACTACTTCAGAGCAGGGATCTCCTCATAATAATTACAGGGCTACCCATTCAATCCTATTTAGGAGATACATGAACAATATAGGGCTGTATAATGAAAAACTTCAGCTGCAAGCAATAACCAAGAGACAAAACAACTATTTTTACAAACTACTGAAGGAAAATCGACCCATGATGGTTGAAGTTTTCCGGAGATTGGAATGTGATAATGCCATCGTTTACTGACATTAAATGTCTTTATCACTTCATCAGTTACTTTTTGAAATGTTCATTTAATGTTTTCGAACTTCCAGAACCACCCACAGACCAGACTAATCAGAGATACTTACAATATTTAACAATGCATAATCTTATAATTCCGAAAGACGTACATTTTTTCAATGATAACATTTTCAATTGTTCCAATGATTAGGTAAAGCGATTTGATTCACTGCATTAATTTCGTGGTACATATTGACTTGAAGAACAAGAATGGTGAGTTTTTATTTCAGTTGTGTTGACAAATTTTTCATTGTGTTGCTGGGATGAATTGTATCAAGAATTGTTCTACTTACTTATCTAAAATATAGTACTTTTCTTTCCATTATTCTACATTTACTATCTCACAATATTTTAATCACGACTATATATTATTTTTCTCATAATGATTCATTCAACTGCGAATCGATTATTGATAGTGGAACTCCATTATGGAAACGGTGGGTGTGCATAGTTATTCAATCTGAATAAGCATGTTATTAATCAAAAATGCGAGACTGAATTTTAATCAAATTCAGAAGACATGATCGGTGGTCTGACGTTGAATATGTACAATTTTTGGGCAATCGAACTCATCCATTCAATTCTCATAAAAATCATTTTATGTAGAAATTAAATGAAATGAAATAAACATCGACAGCAAATCTTTATAATTCCGCGAGTTTCACCTAAGGAACGTCTAATAAATAATCCGAATTTGTTGATCAGATCGTGGATCATCTATTCATAGTCATTTTCCAAAATTTCATTTAATTTAAGTGATCATGAATTACCATAAAGTAAACAAGTCATCAATCACACATATGTAAAAACGGTAAAAAAAATCATTTACAGAAATTATATTTACTGAAAACGTATGAATAAAAGTACGAAAGATGTGTATTGAATTTGAATATTGAAAATTAAACATATTTATTTTACTTCTATTGATAATTTTAAGATCTGGTGATCTGATGACGGCACTTCTCGTAATGATTTGAGATGCCGATTAGTTGATACTGATCGATATGTTTGGATTTTACGAATTTTCAAATGGAATAAAATGATTCACTTAAGTACGTTGTTCCGACTATTGAAACAATTCGACAGGAAGCCTCTTTCATTCAGCATACTTCGATTCTGGTATAAATTTTCGAAATTTAGTGATCGACGTCAATTGTAGAGCTTGATCTTCTTGCATCTCTTATAATTTTAACTCTCCAGATGCTTTTTGGAACAAAAGTATATTGAAAATAGAAAACACCTAGAATTATGTTAATTTCAAATGGATTCAGAATATTTCAAGGCTTCAAATCTATTTTGGAATAACGTCAATATTTCTTCTATGATATTTAGACATAATTATTTTCATTATGCCTTCATTAAAAAGTCTAAAATAGCAGGGAAAATAAACAAAATCATATAAATACTGTTATATCTTAAAGTATATTTCAGGAAAGAATCCCTTTGTCTCTGTCCATAATATGTGATACGAACTTTTTCTTGTATGATCCATCAATTTTTCAGGCAAGAGTCGAAATAACCAGCAAAGAAAAAGTAAAGCTGGCCGCAGAACAAGACCCTGAAGATGTAATTCCAGGCCCTCCTGATGGTGGTTATGGATGGGTAGTAGTTTTGGCCTCGTTTCTATGTAACCTAATGGTGGGTGGTATTTCCTACTCTTTCGGAATATGTATATCGGATTTAGTGCAGTACTATGGCGAATCCAAAGGGACCACTGCATGGGTAGGATCTGCTCTCACTGGATGCACCATGTGTGCTGGACCCCTAGCAACCGCTTTCGCCAATAAATTCGGTTGTCGCACCGCATGTATGACAGGTACCATTAGTCTTTAATGAAACATAAGTTATTTTGAGTCAACTTTATTATCAAATTCACCATATTGTCACGTTTTCCCCCTGGGTTTACCAATAATTGACTACATTGTACAGTAATCAAACGCAATTTTATTTCACTGTCATTACAACCAAACACTTTAACTAAAACTTCAACTATTATTCAAATATCTATCGCCTCATTAGATCACTCTGAACGGCACTGTCCCCTTAACTTGACATTCACGATCTCGGTGTGGGTCGCGAGTATATACGGTAAAGGAACTATCCCGAAACCGGTAGAGAATTCCTCAGGAGTTCATCGAAGCGGGTAGAACGGTCGCGAGCGCTCGTCGAGTTGGGCGCGGTCTTCGTCACGTCACAACTGATTTATGACGACCAGCGGTGGCCGGTGTTACTTTTTTTTAGGGGATGATTTCCAACACTATAATAACATTAGTTTCTACTTTTATTAGGAAGGGTATTTCCTAAAAACTACCAAACGAATGGAAAAAGAAGTCAACAAGATGTCTACAATATTTCTGAGGTCTTTTAGAAAAACCAATCAATAAAGGAGTTGCAATGATCTGTATCTGTATTTATAGAGGGTGAGAGGTTGAGTGTAAGCCCACAGCACTCAGACCACATGTGACCTATTATACATCCTCCAGAGGAGTTGTCCTCTTAAGTCATCGTCCATCCTGTCCTTTCCAGAAAGGTGGACAGGTCACTTGGAGACATCTCCTTTATATAGGTCAAGACTCGCCGAACACACACTCTCTTATTGACGATAACTCTGGGTACTCACATAGGACATGCCTGACAGTCCCATCATCCTGTTCACACATCCTGCATAGAGGTGTGTCTACTAGCCCCATATTATGTAGGTGTTTCCTGCGTTGACAGTGGCCAGTCAGAAATCCTACTGCTAAGCGTAGATTTTTCCTGGTCATCGCTAGATATTTTTTCGGCGCCAGCTTCCCAGGGTCGTCCAAGGTGATCCTGGCAAGATTGCATCCTTTGATTCCATCCCATCTCTTCAGGGATTGAGCATGGGTGTAACATTCGGCTAGTTCCGCAATTGTTGAAGTTATCAGGCCGTAGGTGCCACTGAGTCCTAAAATTCTTAGTCCAGCCGCTTCCTTGGCTAAAGAGTCGGCAATGCGTTTACCTTTACTCCTGTCGTGCCCACCTCAGGATAATGTTATTATCTACCGAGGCTTTGGCTGAATCTTGGTGGTACTCTAGTACTAGCCCTGAGGTAACACGATGTTTGTTCAAGGCTAATAGGGCTAGCCTGCTGTCAGTGCAGATTGTTACGTTTTTGCCAGAAATTCCTCTACTGGTTATTTCTTTTGTGGCGATTAAGATACCAGCCGAGTTGCAATGATATATCTTATTCAAAAACAAACGTGTGCTGACACCGACCTCAAAAAATTGTAGGCACCTACATCCTTGGTGGGAGATGCTGCTGACTATAATATAAAGGCTGTTTGCAAGATGAGGAGTTCATGTTGCTTTCAATAGGGTTGAAACGCTTGATGACATTACAATAGATGAGTTAGATTCCAACAAACATATGTAATATGTAATGACCTTACGATATACTTACGAACATGCCAGAAATGCTGCATTCCGAGTCGTGTAGCAACTCACTGCTACAACTCCATCTAGCTCATTATTATTTCCATTCAGTGGACAATTTCTTGGATTCAACAGAAAAATTCATATGGATTGCTATAACCAATAGACATGTGCAATATTTTGAATGGACCAATAGAATCAATAGATGAATTCATCGAATCAGTCATCCATGAAAACGGATGCACTGGATTTCTCAGAAATTTTTAATTTTTTTGCTGAGTATTGGCATCGTGAGGCCAGTTTTGTTTCGGCCATTATGATTTTTTTCTCACTAGAATTGTAACAGGGTTTGTTCTTTGACTATACAACCGTAAGACTTATGTTCAAGCCAGGCTGTGACACCTTTACGAATTAGTCCACATGTCGAAAACTGTTGAACCAATTTTGATGAAATTTACATAAAAATAATGACCACAATTCTAGTAATGGTTTCGGAGAAATGCGTGGAATAAATATATACATATACCTATAATGTTTTCCCATATTTATTTGCATAATGTGTTTTTTTTGCACGCTTTATTTTAGCTTCACCTGTATGTATGTGTGTTTGTTAGTAACTCTCCTTTTCATTTCATATCGGGATCTGTGTTTGACAAAATTACTAACATTATTGCTTGATCTATTCGCGGGCAGATGGCGCTGTACGTAACCTTTATAAATCAACAATATTGCTTGATATATTCGCGGGCAGATGGCGCTGTACGTAACCTCCTTGATAAATCAACAATATTACTTGATCTATTCGCGGGCAGATGGCGCTGTACGTAACCTCCTTGATAAATCAACAATATTACTTGATCTATTCTCGGGCAGGTGGCGCTGTACGTAACCTCCTTGATATAATTCGAACTCACTTTACCTGTATTCCTTTATTTGAAAAAAGTATTTTTTTTATTACCACGCGCGCCTGCTGCCTTGGGCTTGGTAGTTGATTTTCAGGCTCCCTCTCCGGAATCGGAAAATATCAATGGTAATTTTTCTAAACAATATACGGCTGATTGGATCCCAAAGTTTAGATAAAGTAAATATAGTTTAAAAAGACTAAAAACCACGCTTTTACAGCATACGAAACAAAAAAATAAAAAATAAATATAGTTTAGAAAGACTAAAAATTACGCTTTTAAAGAACATCGAACTAAAAAGTTAATTTTTTTTTAAATACATTTAAAACAATAACGAACGAAAAATACTAGTATTATTGTGAAAAAAGCGACGGGCGCTTGATATACAAAAAATATGGCACAAAGCGCCCACGCTTTTTTCACAATAATACTGGTATTTTTCGTTCGTTATTGTTTTAGGCCTATTTAAAAAAAATATTTTTCAGTTCGATGCTCTTTAAAAGCATGTTTTTTTTTTTAGTTTTTCGAACTATATTTATTTGATAATCAATTCTATCCATTCGTTGTATGACCTTGTACTAGAAATAGGTTTTGAAATATCATTATGAGATGTATTTGGATGTTATACACAGATGACCATCAGCAGTTGGAAAGTGTTTGGAAATTCTTATATATTATCAGGTTGTTTCAACAGTTTTGTCCGATTTCATGAGTCTACTTTAAACTGTAATGATTTGAACTGTAAATATTCATTCAATTTAATCGAAGTAAACGACATATGAATCAGTTCAGTGCCAACGTAACACAAGTCGATCAATTTAATCAGTATAAAAATTGTGTGCTTGGGTTTCGATGAAGTCGACGAAGGCTGTTTTTGCCCAGTCCTGATTGGCGAAGGTTCTACCGATGAGAAAGTTGTCGAAATGCTTGAAAACCTGGTAGTCGGTTGGCCTGAATTACTGTAGGTCGACCACTACGGAGCTCCGCGACGAAATGTCGTGAACAAACGTTGAACAGTGCGTTCATTATCACAATCATTGTGAAATGCCTGGTTAATTTTTTTGACTGTTTCGGCAGGGCTTTGGTTCTATTTGAATTCGTAGAAAATCGCTCAACGACATCATATAATAATGAGCTGAAAAGCGGAAAAAAAATAAAAATTTGGAAAAAATGAACAGCATCAACGTAAGAGTACAAAATTCTCTATCAATCAGTATATACCACGACATAGTAGAATGAATATTTATTGAATATGGAGCTACAGAAAACACATGACGAAACTTTTCAAACAATCCAGATAGCTAGAGTGAAGAGTTGTTACGGAAGCTAAACTACTGATTCAATATAAGCGGACAAATTAAAGCAGAGTTAAACGTCTGTAATGAAGAAAATCCAAAACTGTATTTACTTATATTTTTTTCTAGGTAGCATTATTGCAGCAGTAGCATTCGCTGCTTCAATTTTGTCTCCAACAATAACCACGTTGATGATAGTGTATGGTTTCATTGGTGGTATCGGCTGTAGTATGATATACTTGCCAGCTGTCGTATGCGTTGGATACTATTTCGAAACCAAACGATCTTTGGCTACTGGTATTTGTGTGTGTGGTTCAGGATTTGGATCCTTCGTGTTTCCTCCATTGACAACATATTTGATGAATAATTATGGCTGGAAAGGTAAGATTGATAACCATGCGTTAGTATCTGAATTCTGTCGATGGTTCAAATCGTGAGGCTCTCACTTTTCGAGCATCATTATAGAACAAGACATAATGTAACCGGTAATTTGGGTAGATTATGCTACATTGAACGGAAATGAGGGAAAAACGAAAACGAAATGAAATGAAGTCGCAAATAATATGTATATTTTGTGTGTATTTAAAAAAAATCATATACTCAATGAGTTACACATGAAGGTATTCATTTTCTCACAATCGAATATGATCTGGCTAGGTACTCACCAAAGACAAAAACCTCACTCACACGCACACACATACATTCATACGAAGGTAAATAAAAGCTTGTAAAATAAATGAAAAATCTTGATTTCTCTTCAGGTACCAATTTATGTTTCGCTGGACTCATCTTGACTTGTACTATTTTTGGGGCGCTGATGAAACCTCTGGAATGGAAACCAACTAGGGTGACTACGACCATACAAAAAGTACCCTCCAAAATCACTCATTCTAGAAGAAACTTCAGAGAAGTAAGTGCAACATATTTCCTGGGTATTTTTAGTGCTTTGGCGGATCAACACATGTATCAGATGAAGATAGTTTTCAGTAAACCGAAAGCAGCTGAAATCGCTGTCAAGGCTCACAAATGTATTTTTTTTCATGCAAAAATGCAGTTTTTAGGATATGTAGTTAGTCACGTAGGATATGTAGGAAGTCACGGAAGATCCAGAATATATTCAAGCAATATCAGATCATCAAAGATACATAACCTTAAAAAAGATTGAAACATTCTTGGGAATTTGTAATTATAATTGGTATTTCTTGAGTCTTCTTGAGGAAATAGTCGAACCGCTCACATGACTTTTGAAAACAGTTTGACATGGTGGTATTGACCAATAAAAGGAACTTGAAAGGATGAAGGAGGAATCGAAGGTTGCAACCTTGTTGTACCCTTCTGATATTTTGAAACATTGAGCACGCGTAAAGATAGCTGGTCTCTTATTTCGGGTGGCGTTGAAAAAATTCATGTTGCTGGGTTAAGCCGTTTTCTATCGAAGAGAAAGGGAGACATTATCATGTGAATGAAAAGAAAGTTCTTGAATTTTATGGTATATTCGTCTTTGGCGAACATATTTCTTAACAAACGAAGTTTTCTTGTATACGGACAGTAAGAGGCCGATTCATTTGGCAGATTGCTGTCACCCCAGAACACTTGCATTATAAGAATTTGAATTCCTTATTAAGTTTTGGTCAGAACAACGTATTGTGTATTGTGTGGTCGATTTATTTTATATAACCAGGTTATGTATGAAAACGAAAGAAAAAAATATTCCTCTGCATTCCGCAACCAATCGTTGAGAGTGTAGTTGGAGCTGTCCATGAAGTTCATGGCCATTTTGGTTCCAATGAAATTGTTTTGGCATCAACGGATGAGTTGTTTTCCATCCATATGCAGCGGTCGATTAAGAGGATTGTTAAAAGCTTTGACATATGTCAGCTGATGGAAATTTCAAAATTATCAAAACTATGGCAATCTTCCACGGATGATCTGATTGCCACAGTTAATCTTTAATCACTTATCAGATCTAGAAGTGGGACTTCGTACCTACCAGTTTCTGATATTTAATGTGCTCACCAAACAAAACACATTATACCTGTTGAAAGGGTTCTCATGAGGGTCACACTCAATGGACTACTTAGGGATTACTTTGTACCTAGAGTCGGGTTCTCCTCATTCTCTCCGACAATGACACCCAATTTTCATCTTCCATAAAAAATGTCTTCCACACACTGGTATACAATCAACTTATTCATTTCACATTTATATTTGTTAGAAAGATGTATGCCTGAAATATGGCACATTTTGATGACCTATTGTCATGAAAGTCATACAATATTACTGTCTTTAGAATTCCTCTCCATCTAAATTGCACCTCCAGCCTTGGAAGCGATAACACAAACCTCTGAAAATGCCAGCCACTCGTCAGTAAGACATTCTAGTAGATGACGCCCCGACATCACAGAAGATGACCGTGAAAGGGTAAATTTCGCAGGTTATCGTATTTCATTCGAGTTAATATTCATTGCTCATGATTATAAGGGAATTCATGCAATGTTCTAAGCATTTTTCACTCAAAAAACTTATGTGAATAATGAAAACAAAATAGGTCCCATAGATGGCATCATAGTAGGGGAAGATGTCATCTTTTTAGAGTATATATTGGGTGGGTTTGCTCCACTGACTCATTTGACCGCTTTGTGAAACGGTAGTTCGAGACGAGAAGCCGGACGAACGATTTTCATTCCCTGTCCAACCCGCACTGGAAATCACAGGTCAACAGGAAAGACCTCGTTAATCCTCAGCTCAGTTTCGATTGCCGTTTGTAGGGGGCGACAGCTGGTTGACAGAAGAATACATTTCAAAAGATTTTATTTACATTTTACGGACAGAAAGCTGTGAGTCCCAAGCATCCAGATAATATCTACAATTTCTCAACTGACAGGTCAAGTTACCAAATTCAATGATTTATGCACTACATCGGTAGATGACATTTTTTTATATTTTAGGATCCATCAGAAACGGAAACCATTTACAATTCCATTTCATCAGTAGATATGAAACACGATATCATTCCACCGTTAGGTAGAAAAGATATATTTTATTCAGGGTCACTCACGAATCTGAAAGAATTCCAATCACAAGGTTCCCTCAACCATTACAGGCAAAGTGTCATCATTAGTGCAAGATCAAGGTGTGAGTATACTGTGCTTCATATATTAATTAGTCCATCCAATAGAGAACGATTTACTTTCAAAAGTTCCAGTAGTTTTGAATTTTGGATTTGTTGTATAGGATAGTCAGTGATTGTTTCAAATGCGAAATGCACAATTCATTTCCTTCCGTACCCTCCACTATCTAGAAAAAATCGCCACTTTTTTCAGAATGACTCATATTATCTTTAGTCTTCAGGGTCATTTCAGCTGCCAAAGCTAGCACAGAATTCATAAAGAGCATAAAAATTGAAACTCGCCTTCCTACAGCTACACGACCCTATACAGTCATTTGTGCATCTACTCATCCTGATGGCTTTCTAGTCATAGAGCTCTCCCAACTCGATCGAATCTTTGACAAATCCGATCCATTCCATAACCTGGATATGTGTTTTCAAGAAGTGGAAATATGCGGCATCAGTGGTCGGAGTTCAGCCTGATTTTACTTGGTGGTATTGGTCTCGAATTTGCTGTAACATAGGAATCACAACAATTGTTGTCTACTGCCACCATACAGAAACGAAAGGCAATCATGCTGCCAAAATTCGTTGTGGAGTGACAGCAGGTCTCCCGAACTTCTCCACCTGCCTCAGCAATCATACATCTTCCCTGAAAACTTTGCAGAATTAATTTTTTCCAAACCAAAAGTGGTTGATGTGATGTCGTAGCTCGATGTGATTTTGCGCCGGAGTTGTTCTTGAATGAGGAGGCGAAATAGATTGTCATGCACTGCAAGTTCAATGAAGCAAATGAATATTTCCATCGGTTGAGATGAACATGTTCCTTATGGGTTAATGAATTTCCAATGAGGAACATACTGATACTTGTTTCCCTGAAATAGGCTATAATTGAAGAAAAGCTGTCTGAAGTTTACAGTTTGTCAAATTATCGAGAAGGGTGATTTAATTTTTTTTAATAGTGCCTATTTTTGAAAGTATTACTCCCATAAAAAAATCAAGAGGATGAATGTAGGAAACTCTTACCTCTACAACCTCAAATAGTACTTTCTTTAGTTGAAATGCACCAAGAAAAAGATATAAGTGAAAGTCTAAAAAATAGTGCTGATATTTTTAGGTTTTTCCCAGTTTGCATTGGCATTTGCAATTTAGAACGACCATTTGTGAATAATCTTCTTTGGGACCATATCTCAAATTCGATATCACAACGAAATCGCATATTTTCTATAATGAAGTTCGAATACTTTTTCAATTTTCTTATGGTAGTAGTAGCAGATTCCAAAGAAATATTTTCACAACAGTTTTTAGTTATTTCCAAAGCTTCAAATTCCTGAAATGTCAATTGATTGTGAGTTGAAAATTTTCAGAATGTTCATTATAAACGAATGATTTTCTGCAGTACTTGTACACAGTAATACATGTATCCTCTTCATGAGGTGGTATTCAGAATTAAATATCACCAGCTTAGAATATTCTGTAGATTTGATCCTTATTGAACGTTACTTTTTGTTTTCTACTGAGTGTTGTTTTAGAGTTCTGATGCTCTATACTCTACTGGTGAAACTCTCTAGTTTTGGATACTTTTCATGAAGTACATTATAGAGTTTCAACAACAGTAACAAGAATTTCCTCTGAGCCCAGTAAGTTCAAGCAACTGCAAAATTATTCAATCCAGACTGACTTCATATTTTAGCAAGTTGAGTACTTATTTTGGATTGATGTATGACTCCTGAGTCATTATCATCTACTTGTTTCAAAATTATTTTCCTGGTTCACTGGATGTGGTTTGCAGATTTTTCACTCAGTATTGCTATCCAAACCTGAAACGCTACGATTTCAAGACCAGTTTCTGTAGTGTCCATAAAAAACAACATTTCTGTGCTACCACAGATTCCGCAAAGATTTTATATTGGACCTCTCACAACATGCTTTCAATATTGCAAAGTACTATTCTTTTTCTTGCATATCTAATATGACGTCAATTAGCCAGAAACACTTTTGCTTTCACCTTCTTAGAGTTATAATTGCGGATTCCGCTCTTTCTGATTTAGATCAAACACGGTCGCAAACATGTTTCAGAGTATATGTACTGGGTTGTTTTTTGGGGAAGTAATTCTAAATAGTTTTGCTGCAATATTCATCGGTCCTTCAACCCTGAAAAATCAAACTTGGAACTATTAATAATTTTCCGAACTTTTTGCAGCTAAAAGTGTGTGTCTACCAAAAGGTATCAGCGATACCCTTCGGGCGTTACTGGACTTCAGTTTATTGAAAGATCCTGTATTTATGATGCAAGCAATTTCCACCAGTTTCACAATGATTGCATTTTACATACCGTTCGTCTATATAATAGAAAGTGCCGAAATTGAAGTGAGTAATATCAAGTATTAAAAAAAATCCTAAAACATTATTAATATATCACAGTCACATGCATATTGAATATGAGACTGATAAATATAAAATATAGTTCAAAAATGAAAACATTTCCACCCTCAATCTTCCTTATTCTGCCTCTGCAACAGAAATCTTCCTCATTCTGCTTTCGGCAGAAATCATTCTGTAATGACATCATTGTTGATAGGGCGACATTTATATCACTCCAGGAGCAGGCTATTGGGAATAAGTGCGACTGTTTGGTTGAACCACTTACAAATAACTTATTTCGTACTGCTTGCAACTCGACTTGGCTATGTGTACCAAACCCAGGAACCAAACCAAATTTGTCACAGTCAATAAAGGGTACAACTTGGATGCTGAAAGGAAATCAGTAAATAATTTATAAGTTTGCAACCAACCAAGGTTACCTACCTTACCACTGTAAACCAAAAGTATAATTTTGGGCCACAAGCTGTTGTGATTACCTCCACATCCATCTACATTGTCGAAAGAAATATATTACACAATTCTTAGTTGAAAATTCTTTTAATCAGCACCCCTCTCCGATGAGCTCCGGCATTCGAATCCCAACTTGGGACATAAAGTCGTAATGTTATGTAGGAATTGTGATGTTATCCAGATGGGTGCTGGAGAGGCAGTGAGACAAGTGTCTTATTCCAAAATATCGATGTCCACCATTGAGGATGACACTGTTCCATGTAAGTCAAATTTTACCTGGAGAAGTATGGAGAAGTAAACAGCCAAAAGCTTTCTTCCCCAAAACACTCTCTTTCGTAAATGTAACTACAGAATTCGTGCATAAGACTCTTCACAGGCGTAAGGAGACGTGAGCATGTGTCTCAATACTTGGAACAACTCGGGTGGCTGAACATGGATGCTAGGCGCACACTGTATTCTGCTAGTTTATTCCATAGATAGATAGATATATGTTTATTTTACTACATTATGTACAAAGATACATTTATAGCAAGTCAGTTCCTTAGTACCAGGTTACAATAAAAGGTTCAAAAATATAAATACTAATCTAACATCCAGATTAGAAAAACAAGTATACTTCTGGCATAAATTCAGCTATTTGTATAACATTACAACACACAAAATTCACACATGTACATAATATATTAATAAATGAGAGGGTTTGACCTTAATGTCTAGACTAGCTGGCTATATAGAGTAATCAATAAACAAATATTCATTAACAGAGTAAAAACCGTATTGTTAAAGAAATGTTTTTATCGCAGATTTAAATTTTATCCTGTCAAGATTTCTTGTCTTCTCAGTCAATTCATTATAAAGTTTAATATTGGGAGAATTCCTAGCTGATTTATCTAGACGATATCGAGGCTCAAGTAAAATGTCTTTTGTTCTTGTATTGTGAGTATGGAAATCCGAACTGGTTGTGAATATGTCTTTATGTTTATGAATGTGAAGAAGAGTATGATAGATATATAATAAAGGCACCGTCATGATATACCTGACAAATAGCGGACGGCAATGATCTCTGTATTCAGCATTAGCCATAACTCTCAGCGCTCTTTTCTGTATAATAAACACTGGCGTGCGTTGAATTTCCCCACAACATGACACCGTAATTCAGATGTAAAGTCATATCCACTGGGAAACCTGCCTACCTATTCACGAAACTGTCCTTTAGAACCGATATACATAATCTAAATTTGAGATTTAAACATTTTTGACTGCACCTGAACATAAAATTTCTCTTTTTCGAGGATCTTTTTCTTATAACATTGCACGCTTATATAATCGGCTACCCATTGAATTGCAATCCCTACCACCACTTAGTTTCAAGCAAAATCTGAAGAGATTTATGCTACAATCCAGTTCTCTTCTTTTATAATATTGATCAGTTGAAACCTATACATAATATGTTTTTACCATAAATATGTAGAAATCATCAAATTTATGTTTGTAACATGGTGTTTTCACATATGAAAGATCAAATTCTCATTTATTCGATTTTTGCCTCTCTTTTCTGCTTTTCTTTCTTTTCTTTTGCTTCTCTCCCTTCTTTCCTTTTTTTTTCATTAAGTTCGATTGCAAATAATATGTATTAATATAAGTAATATCTTTTACTGTTTGGATGGAAGAGCAATTTCTGCCTTGATTTATCATGCGCAGACGTTGAATTCTGCCATTTGTTAGGTTAGATCAGTATCTCTTGTACTGAGTGACCTTTCAATAAAAGCATTAATTATTATAATACCCTTTTCAATTCGATATTATCACTCAAGGAAATACCTTGATAAACTTGGAGCTTTACGACAAGGAAATTGAAATATATATATTCATAACTATAGAGAAATCGATACTGACGATTTTTTTTATTCCAAATAAATTTTGTTTATGAAACTGGAATTGATATTCGAGAATGTATGGCATGAAAATATACAAAAAGAAATTTATAGCGGTTTTTTCATTAGAATATATCTGAAATGTTCCGATATTTTTTCCCACAAACATATTAAAAGTAGGTGTTGATTATTATCAGGAGAAAAATGTATCAGTTATCCAGTGAGAATAATTAAATCTGCATCGTGAAATTCTTCGATAATAGCTTTACTCAAAATTTGATTTTCCCCAATTTTTTGGCAAATTACACCACTGCTTCTGAAATACATTTGAACCCTGCATCATCTGAACCTACAACCTGACAATAAAGTTTTTGTCAATATGATGGCTGAATATTTTACTGAACAATCTGCTTTCTTCACCCTTTCCCAGTATTTTGGATAAGAAAATATTTATTGCAATTATCAAATATTACCCAATATTTTTGAATTTTCGTAAATATTTCGAACTACTTACAGCTCACTCATTTCTTTGAATATTGTATAACAGTTTCCATTTTTTTTACAGGGTATCGAAGCCAGTAATGCCTCTTTTCTGTTATCTCTAATAGGTATGGTGAATACAGCGGGTAGAATTGTTTTTGGATTTATAGCAGATTCACCAAAAGTAGACCCTTTTCTACTCTTTAACTTATGTATTAGCCTAACTGCAGTTTCAATCATCCTCATACCTTTTTGTCACAACTATGGAACCTATGTTATAGTTTCTATTGGCTTTGGTATTGGTGCATGTAAGTAATGTATAATTTTGCTATATTGTATAATTTCAGTCACAGTGAATCTCATCTATATTAATTCCGTATCATAAAATGATGATATATATGAAGTGTAGAACATGAGATCGAAAATCTAGGTTAATATCCACGTGCTCTAGGTTCAGCTGAAAAACACCTCATCTCTTGCTTCTCATGTAGACCTACGATTTTGTAGGTAAGTCACCTATGCGACGTTTTCGATTTGAAAGATTCGTCGCAAGTTATTTCCCACTATGAAAAGCAGTAATTAATTCCATTCCAACCAATAGACCGGTTTCGGAGTCTATCAGTACCGAGGGCCCCATCATCAGTACCGGGCTTGATCTCTTCAGAACGGAGTGAACCGTCTGAGTATCACGACCACACAAATATGATTCCATTACAGCTCGAATATAAGTCCAGCTAGTCTTGAACTCTGTCTGCAGTTGATTCAGTGGGATGTCCACTGCGTCACCCACAGAAAAAGCCAGGAAACAACTCCACAAACACATTCTCCTAGGTGGGAGTCGAAATAATGTTTAATATTCTGAAGAGGTGCATATGACATGCTTAAGGTTCATGTGAAAAACACCTTACCCTTGCCTTTCACGTAGACCCACGACTTTTCAGGTACGTATGGGAGATACCCGACGAAAAAACAACAACTTTTCGTTTTTTCGTCGGGTATCTGCCACAAGAACCTATGAAGTCGTAGGTCTACATGATTGTCCAAAATGTTATGTAAGACAAACGGGACGTTACCTGAAAAACAGGTTGTCTGAACATGAAAGAGATACAAAAAAGTTGAATATTGCCAATGCTACCATAGCTTTGAGTTTGCAAGCCCTAATATTTTATTTTAGATGTTTAACCTTTATTAGGTAAACGACTGTGAGATGATCTACACTTTCAAACAAAAAAGTGTTAACACTAGAAGAGACATAGAAGGACTGAATAGTACTTATTTCAATTTGATAAATCGGATTCCTCAACATTTCAGTACAGACAGGTTTCCACCATCCTGTGTACTCTGATATATTTCTATCGTTTATAATTATAAAAAATGATGAACGAAAACGTCCAATTCTAATCAGTTGTCTTCCTTGATTTTTAATGTGTCTGTGGTTGTATGAGTTTCATTTAGTTAGTCCTTATTTTTAACGTTTTTTCAGCATGGATAAACTAATGTTTGGTGAGTCCACCTGTTTGTTTTTTTTTCACAAAATATGGGATCAGTAAAAACTATATTAATTCGCAATATGTTGACTATTTCATTATGAAATTATTTTATTATACAGCCCTGATGATGGATTTAATAAAGTCAGAAACTTTGGCATAAAACTACGAAAACATTTTTCATCCCCTTCCCAACTAATAATAAAAAAACAGCATAATATTATTCTTTTCATTTTTTGTCTGTTTGTTTGTCTGAAAGGGCTCGAACTCATTAAGATATATTAATGTTTATTCTAGAAACATTTACTAGACTGTTACTTTTAGAACTTCAATAAGAACAGAACTTTTGTGTACACAAAAATCGAATATTCAATCAGTATGTTGAGTTAAAAAATATATTTTTTAAGAATGAATGTATCAGGTTGGCTTCGATTAGAAAATATGTATAGTATATCTCTTTTAACTATCCCGAATATAGTAATGCAAATAAAGATTTCCTGCTACTCCACTTCCACATTTCGAATAAACTTGAATAAATTTCTGATAATATCTAGATATAGTATCCACTTCGTAGCTTCACCTATACCACAGATTAAGTACTTAATCTGTGCATATACTCCAATAAAATAATGCATACCAAGTCAAATCATGTACATTATCAAATTTCAAAAAAAAGTCTTTAGTTTAGAATGAAAGAATGAAACGACATTGTCATTCGATTGATGATATGGCACATTGTCAGGCATCAATCTAGGTTACATTAATTATTTTTCACTTTCATTGTTATTAAGATGAGTTGAAAAACAACTTAAGCAGAATCTACGCCTATTCTTCATGAAAATATTGCAAATTTTCTCTATTAATTTCAATTAGCTATGTAAATCACTCATTATTTGTTGAATAGAAAGGACTATTATTATTGTCAACATTTGGACATAACCTCAAACCTTGGCCGAATCTCTCATTTCAAATTATCAACTACAAACCCATTGTGATTAGACTTTTTTTTCAGCCGGCTATATGTCGTTGACTGCTGTTACTCTGGTGGAACTGCTCGGTTTGGATAAACTAACGAATGCCTTTGGTTTGATCATTTTATTCCGTGGCACCGCTGCTCTTATCGGATCTCCAATGGGTGGCGCCCTGTATGATGCTACTCAATCCTACCATGTTTCATATTTTGTAGCAGGAGGTTTATTCGCTGTTGCAGCAGCTGTCAGTTTCTCTACGAAATGTTTTAAGACGAAAAAAACCTCGGATAAAAATGAAGTTCTCGTGTCTATCAACGCATGAAATGAATTGATTTTAGTTTTTTTACACGTACCAAAAATATATTTTTCATTTGGATTAGATGTTTTTTTTCATATCATAGTTGAATTTTCCTATTATAATCGGTGTAGATCTCACCTTTCAGGACGTAATTGACGTAAATATTTCGGTACTGAACGAATTTTTTCTTCAGAGGAGTTCATATCGTTACGATCTGAGAGGAGTACAATTGAAACTGGTGTACCACAGGGTTCAGTGTTGAACCCTGTGTTACGGTTCAACTTTATTTGACGTCGATATCACAGTATTCTGGATGGAAATAGGAGTTTATATAAATTAGAATTAGAAAAAAATTGGTGCAGTGCAATCGAATATTGGCTTGATGAACTTCGCATAATACAAAAGTCCTGGTGAGAGTGATATAAAAAAAGTTGGCTTTGGCACTGCGGAAAGTGCTTATTGATCAATTTCCAGTTTTATTACGTTATACCATCCTCTTTGAGATAATACTGTAATCTTTTCACGGTCTATTGAATTTAAAAAGTGTTTCTATTATTCATTCGAGAGTAAACAGGAGTTCACTTGGTACACTAAGATTAATTGAAGTTTTAGTTAGTCTGCAACTCTTTTATTTCTAGAAACAGTGAATATAGTCTCAGTCTATGTATCCTCACCTTTTGTCTAGTGGATGAAACAACATTTCGCCATAAAAAAAGTTGTTCAGGCTGTTCCCAAAAACACCGGGTCTCCAATGGCAATTTCTTAAATTTCACTCTTATTACTATTCGCATCGACTCTATAAAAGAGATTTGCATAACCTTCACGAGGACCCTCAACTGGAAGGTCGACCTGAGAGAAACTCTGGACATAGTCCGGAAAAGAGCAAACTCTCCTACACAATTATAAAACTTTCATCAGACCAGTCCTAGAATACAAGGCGATGATATACTGTACGCTTCCCCGAGACTATCCCACCGTATGCTAACAACCGAGAGAAGAATCCTATGCAACATCCACAACCTCTCTTACCGCTACCCATCTTAAAACTTACATAACCTAGTAAATACTATACCAATCAACCTACGACTTTAGGAACTTCAAGGACGATATGCGATAAGAATGAAGAGCAGTAATAACGCGCTGACAACACCTTGGACTCCCCGTGGAAGACCCAGAAGGATATCTGGGAAAAAGCTCCCGTTTTCCCCAGCAAGACTTCTGGGAGCAATGGAAGATCCACCGAAGCAGATCCAGGATATCCTAGAGGAATACCCACTGGAAATCAGATAGCTGACAGCTGCGTCCTAGAGGGGGTTGAAATCGGAAGCCATTTACCCTCGGCCTTACAACCTGTACCCATATTCCAATGACCACTGCAAGTGACCCGGACCACTCTAACGGAACAACGGAAAACAAGAAAAACAAGAGGAATACATGACAACATAAGACAACACAACATTAGACATCATTACACAAGACAACACACACACAATCCACTAACGCTGAAGAGGCATAAGCCTATAAGGGCCCCACACAAAATACACTATCACAAATATTTTATAATTTTATCCAAAAGCTTGAATAAACATTTTTGACGTGACTTGATCTGCATAGATGTCCAACTGTACAGATATTTGCTGGAGGCGAGGTGACCTGAAGCAGATGAGATAGTTTCGACGTGAAAATATAAAGATTCATCATCTTGACGAAACTTAACCTAACGACGGATATAGGTATCGTTGGAAAGTTCACGTCGAGCATTTTTAGAAGGTTGGTATACCGGATTAAAGTCGCCTCAAAAAAAAAGAAAGCTACTAGTTATTACCGACATTGAAAGTGATGATGGTTTTGTTGAAGGTGGCTCATTGATGTTTGAGTCAAGGCATTCTGGTGATAACAAAGATAATATGAATGAGTGTGATGGATAATGCAAGTTATCATTCGAGAAAGAATATCAACTGATGCATCCATTCTCAATCCTTAAAGAGATGGGATGAAATCAAAGGATGCAATTTTGCCAGGATCACCCTGGGCGACCCTGGGAAGCTGGCGCCGAAGAAATATCTGGCGATGACCAGGAAAAATCTATACTGCTAAGCGTAGGATTTCTGACTGGCCACTTATGGAAACACCTCCATAATATGGGGCTAGTGGATACACCTCTATGCAGGATGTATGAACAGAAAGATGAAACTATCAGGCATGTCCTATGTGAGTGTCCGTAGTTATCGTCAATAAAAGAGTATGTGCTCAGCGAGTCTTGGCCTACACCTGCCGATATAAAGGAGATGTCTTCCAGTGGAAGGACAGGATGGACGATGACCTAGGAGGACAACTCCTCGGGAGGATGTACAATGGGTCACATGTGGCCTAAGTGCTGTGGGCCTACACTCACTCTCCCTACTCTACAGATACAGATATCAACTGATGCATGAAAAAAGCAGATATCGAAGGGTTTCGATAAGACACGCCTTTTGATGAAAGTATGGTTTGAAAAGGAACTATTATCCATAGTATACTCTAATATATTCGTTTCACGAAATATGTAATTGACAAGATACGGTACGGAAACGAACTATTATTATTCTGTGTCTGACCCCTCATCATTGCGAACTCAATCCATTGAACTCGTTTGGGCTCAAGTAAAGGGTTTTGTTTCAAGAAGAAACACGATATTCAAAATAAAAAGGTCTTCAATTGCTTATTAAGATTCTTTGAAAACTATCGATTCCAAAAAATAGTGAAAATGTATTGAACATGCCATCCGACACAGCTAACTTTGATAGTATGGAATATCAGAGAACTATTGAGGATATTAGTACCTATACTTGATTTAATGAGAGAGATATGTGTCAAAAGTATGAGTGAATCTACAGTTGTATATCGCTTCAAAGTTCAACTGAAAGTTCAACGATCTATATTTTTACAAGATTCACAAACTTGCAAGATACTATTAATCATCATCGATGAAACTTGGGAACTATATTTATAGTTGTACTAGAATATTAGATTCCAAAAATGGTATATTCTGTTTTATGGTTAAGTTCCATTCTTATAGTGGTAGTCTACTGGCATTGATAACTAGATCCATTATAATTAATAACTTTCCTTATCATTATCGGAAGGGGTATTTATACTCATTGAAATATGCATTCAATGTTTTGAGAATTTGCAAAAATTACCCAGGGAAGGAATCAGAGATACAATAATAGGTACCGATATTTACAAAACTCAACACTTTATGATCTTTTTGATTGCATAAGATGAATATTCAAGGTTTTTTGTCTTTCAATGATAACGTTTTCGATTGTCTCATTGATAACATAAAACGACTTAATTCACTTCACCAATTTTTCATTGGGTACATTAACTATCTAGAGTACAAAATGGTGAGTTTTGTTTTCAATTTCATTCAACTTCTTTTACCGATATTTTCTTAATTTCATTCAAATATTACCAAAAAAACTGGAAAAGAATGGAACTGGTCCATGTCAATTTTTTTCAATATAGTTTACCACTATAGTTCATTGTGATTTTCATTATAATAAGCAACAATAGCCGAGTAAGTGAAATCGTGAACTGATTGGAAAAGAATAATGAATGAGCTATGGAAGATCTGTATCGCTGTATCTGTAGAGTAGGGAGGGTGAGTATACATCCACCGAACTCAGGGGCCACATGTGACCCATTGTACATCCTCCCGAGGAGTTTTTCTCCTAGGTTATCGTCCATTCTGTCCTTTTCAGGAAGGTGGACAGGTCACTAGGAGACATCTCCTTTATATCAACTGATGAAGGCCAAGACTCGCCGAACACACACTCTTTTTGGCAACCTTGAGGTGTCTCACGGCGACCTTCGTAAAGTTTTCTGAAGGTGCAGCTACATTGCCGTTGCGCGGCTTCTTCAACCTCCTTGGGGTTCCCTTCGTGGAGGGCGCTTTCCTGCAGGGGCAGCGGGTTCCTTGCCTTTATTCAAGGCGGAGCTCTTGGCGCTCGCCCCAGAAAGTGCCCTTGCTGTTGGAGATGGAGTGGGAAAGGAGGATGGTGCACTTATAGTTGCTGCCACTCCTGTCTCTACCGCCCTATTCCTCCTTTTGGTCGCGGCGACGCAAATGCGCTTAAGCCTTGGCCTTTTTAATAATTCTTTATTTCCAGTAGGACAATAAAATTGTGTAGAAAGTGTCAATATAATACAATTTAAAAAAGAGAAGAAAAGAGGAAGACAGGTTCATGCTCTGAAACTAAGATGACTATGCATTATTCAAAGAATTCCTGCAAAGCAAAAAGACATTTTTCCAATAAATATTTTTTCAATGATTTTTTGAACAGAGAAAAACTATTCAAGGCCTTCAAATAATCTGGGTGATATATATCTTTGGACCTATGTATTCTGGTCCACATGATGTTACTTTGAATATAGCTAATGGCAGATGAAAATGGTTCTTGGTTCTAGTATCATGTTGGTGAAGTTTCAGATTTGTTGTAAACCTTGATTTATTTTTGAACACATACATAGACAGTTCAAAAATATAAACTGATGTTAAAGTCATAACATCGTTCTCATCAAAAAGTGGCTTGCATGATTCTCTATTAGAAAAATTTGTTATGCACCTCAGAATTCGCTCTTGTGCTATAAAAACATTTCCTGCTGTGGTGGAGCCACCTTAGAAACAGATACCATTCTACTTGAGCATAATATATATATATTTAGCAGCTGACTCTTTGTTGAAACTATTCGTAAATTGATGAAGAGAAACTTCAATGAATTAAGTTTTGATATTAATTGTTGACAGTGGCCTTTTTAATTGATGAACTCATCTAAAGTGATTGCCAAGAATCTTACATTGTGATCAGTATTTGTTAGGGTTACATTGTTCACCATGAAATGTATGTTTTCCACTCTGTTTTGTCAGTTGTGAATACGAATAACATCTGTTTTGTCCGTATTGAAAAATAAAGCGCTGTTATTGAAATAATTTGATATCCGCCTTACTATTCTGGCACAATTGTTTTGTAATTCTTTTGTATCTGGTGCAGATATAACTAGCGAAAAGTCATCTACATAAGCGGTATAACGACCTTCGGTAACTACTGATTCAATGTATTTACATAGAGTACAAACAATAGAGGACCCATTATTGAACCCTGTGGCACTCCCATTCTTAGATTCAGATATTCGGAATTGCCTTTATAGATTTCATTTTTTCTCTCAACTTGAACTGATACATATTGTTTTCTATTCTGCAGAAATGATGTCAGCCAGCTGAGAGAAACCCCTCTCATACCACACATTTCTAATTTTGAAATAAGTTTTTTATTTTGGAAGATGTGGAATGGGTCAGAGTATTCATAAAATTACCTATGTTTCAGTCTATCCGTTCATCATCATATATAAGATGAACTTGTATAACCTAACAATTTTTTTCAGGCAAAAGCCGAAACTACCAGTGAAGAAAAAACTGTGCTCGGCATAGAACAAGATCCTGTAGATGTAATTCCTGGCCCTCCTGATGGTGGTTATGGATGGATAGTGGTTTTGGCTTCTTTCATGTGTAACTTAATGGTGGACGGTATTTCGTACTCTTTTGGGGTCTGTATATCCGATTTAGTACTGTACTACGGTGAATCCAAAGGAACTACCGCATGGGTTGGATCTATTCTCACTGGAAGCACTATGTGTGCTGGACCCCTAGCAAGTGCTTTCGCCAATAAATTCGGGTGTCGGACAGCTTGTATAACAGGTAGTGTTTGTCTTTAATCATGCATGAGTTAATGAGTCAACATTAGTATCAAATCATCAACCAATAACATAAATTAAACCATTATCGGAAAGAGTATACCGTGAAACACTTTGTTCACGGACTGCCAAACAAATGGAAAGGGATCTCAAGAAGTTAAAGATCTAAAATTATTCCAAATTGTAAAGTAGTTTCTCGAAGATACTTGTACTGGCTTCAGTAGAATTGTCTATTCGTTATATATGATTGATCAATGAAGAGAATACAGTAGTGTATCGGATGACTCCACCAAAAGTATATACTAATCCCACTATTGGTATTTCGGAAACGGTAAGACCTACAAGGTTGGTTGAAATTTACAGAAGTTTTCCATTTTGGAAAACTACAATAATATTTCTTCGAATTGGGAATAACAGCTGTTGTTTTTGAATTATTCACCAAAAACTAGATGGTCAAATGATATGAAAAAGGCATATGAACTTTCAGTACTGTTTCATTTGTTATAATTCAATAAAAACCAATTTGCACTACGAAGTTTTGTCGTGGAACTCAACGCTATACACGATATCCAAATTTCGGAAGAACACGCAAAGTTGAAGGTCTCTTTCAACAATAAATTCTACGGGTGAGTATACATTTACATCATTACATAAAACTGTTGGTAACCTTTTGCCACTAGGAGGGATTTCTCCTGAGTAGTACCTGCTACTTATTTTTTCGTGAAAATAAAACAAAATTCCACCATGGAGTGGTTTGATATAGTCCGTGGTATGATTTTCCTCTAGGGAAGTAGTTTTCTTTACCATACCTTCTTTCCATTCGTCACTCAATGTCAACCGCTCATTGACATGACTTAGAAACATCCGATGAGAAATCACCAGTTAACAATGCTAATATCATTTCATGGTCGTTAAACCGATTTGGGAATTTTGTTAACCTTTCAGGAAAGATGCTATTCCTCTCTGATGTCTGAATATGGTTATGTGAAGTAGGATATTTCAAACGCTCACGTCTGAATTAGAACTTCTAAAACAATGAAAGAACTGAAAATATCTTTAATTGTTAACTCATCGAATACCACGAATAACTGATAATTGTTCTTCTTTCAGGATCTCTATTACAAAATTCAATTTTCGAAGTAGTGGATGCAGTTTTCATCTTCCAGAGCAATATGACAGTAAGCATGTGAACCAACATTGAAATTTTGTTCAAATCATCCTTGTAGTCATACCACAACTTAACAGGTTATTTTTCTTGAAATCGAAGTTTCTATTCGATACGTTCTCGTTAGAGAATATTGTGGAATATCATGGAAGAAGAGAAGTCTTTAAATTCATTCGTGGATATTTTGGATTTCATATATAGGGTATTCAATTAAGCACTTACAATCTTCAAATTTAAATAAAACAAAGTGTGTGTGTGATATATAATTGAAATTTTGCATTCGTTTGAAAGAACTATTGATGCAATTCTATGTGGAATATAACATCGTTCAAATGTCCACCACGGCTTCTCTTCTCCGAAACGTACAATTTTCCATGACTCTGGCGCATAAAACAGGCTGAATTTGGTCGTTGGCATGGGTTATGTTGGTTTCGATGACCGCTCTGGTTTGTGGCTTATTCGCATACACCTGTAACTTGAGAAACCCCCACAGGAAAAAGTCTAATGGAGTCAAATCGCATAATCTCGGTGGCAAGTTCACCGCTCCACGTGTGATGACCATGCCCTCGTATCGCAGAATATCCACTGTGGCATGAACTGTGTGGCACGTAGTGCGTGGTACCACATGTCATTGATGTCCAGATTATCCAAGTCAGGAAAGAAAATTGGTAATCGTCAACCTATAGTGCTCGCCGTTGACAGTGATGGCATGACCAATGTAGTTCTCGAAGAAATGTGGACCGATGACGCCGCCAGCCCAAAATTCACACCGAACAGTGAATTTCTCGGGATGCTTTGGACTCTTTCATCTCATATGGATTGGTATCGTCCCACATTCGACAATTTTGTTTGTTCACGTACTCATTCATCCAGAAAGGGGCCTCGTGGTTGAAGATGATTTTTCGATGAAAATTAGGGTCAGTTGCAACTTTTCAAGAACCCACATAGCGAACAGACGTAGTTGTCTATGGTAGTTTACCTTCAGTTCCTTGGTCAGTTGAATTTTGTACGGGTGCAGGCCCAAGTCATGACCCAAAGTTCAACAAATTGTAGTCTGCGAAAGGCCGATCGTTCACAGAACTAGTGGACTCAAATTTATCCACCACATTGCGATTTGTCTCTCGGTAGGACGATTATGGCGACCGTAAAATGGCCTAAGCGCGCGGTACGTTGTCCGAACAGAACACCCATTTATATACAACAATTTTATTATTTGCACGTGTTGCTATATCTGTCCATGGTGATTTAGCGAAATGGACTGAATAAATGACAACTAATTTGACAGATGTAGCTCCAACAACATGACCGTTATCAATTGTCAAAATTCGGAAGTCCCTGTTGGAAGACCCTATATTAGTTGTCAAATAAAAGTCAGGTTGTCGATACTTCTTTTATTTCTTCAAAGATGAAGTTCAGTTTCGAATTTTTTGGCAATCTCAAAATAATAAAGGTTGAATATGTTACCGTTTCAATGATACATACCTACGTGTCAAATTGATAATCTTTTTTTTTACGGTAAAAAAGCAGTCAGACGTCTGTGATAAAGAAAATCCAAATTTGTATATACCTATTTTTTTCTAGGAAGCATCATTGCAGCAGTAGCATTCGCTGTTTCAGTTTTGTGTCCAACAATAACCACGTTGATGATAGTGTACGGTTTCATTGGTGGTATTGGCTGCGGTATGATATACTTGCCAGCTGTCGTATGCGTTGGATATTATTTTGAAACCAAACGATCTTTGGCTACTGGTATTTGTGTGTGTGGTTCAGGATTTGGAGCTTTTGCTTTTCCTCCATTGGCAACATATTTGATAAATAATTACGGTTGGAAAGGTGAGATATTAACCAAGACTTGTAAATATTTACAGAGAGTATAAACTAAGTGATACGGCATTCTTCTTCAATTTTCAACATGATTACAGTTGTTTACGTAGGTATAGCGAAATTGAGCGTGAACGAAATGTTGTGAATTGAGCGAGTGATGAAATATCACTCAACAATTTTGTTTAGAAGTGTATAATACTGCTAACTACTTTTCAGCTGGCGTTATTGCAAAACACATAAATTGTTTTACTAAAATTCCATAATAGTAGGCACTAAATTCTCAGTGATATTATTGCATTAAAACGATAACATTGTTGTCAGGTTATGATTTTATATATTTTATCATTCTATATATTTTATCGGACGATAAACTATATTGAATCACGATCTGACAACAATGTTATCCTTTTAATGCGATAATATTTCTGAGAATTTAATATGTGTAATTGATGACTTGTTCATTTTGTGGTAATTCATGATCACTTTAATGAAATGAATAAAAACACTTTTGTCTAATTACCCCTAGTTAATTTTATTTATACGACCGGTTTCGGGTTTAATCCCATCATCAAGAATAAAAGTTTGAAAACTCGGTTATATCGGGAATTTTCAGGTAAGATGTAAGTACAGGTACCTGGTTGAACGACAGGTATAGTTGAATTAACCAGGGTGCCAACTTTAAAATTCAACCCTGAAGATTATAGGGGTTGTTGAACTTATAAATTCAAGAGTGGAGACCTATGCATGCTAGTATAGTCTGATTCACAATAAATTTTGTTTTATATAGACATGAAGCTCCTGAAAATATTAGCGGTAGCTCATTGTATTCAGAATTACGTAAAGAAAATTACAATTTCTGCAGTACACAAAAAATTGCATTTGTTATCAACAAGTTAAGATGAAAAACAAGGAAGCCTTAGGTTTTTTGTTTGTAACTCAAAAACTATCGATATCCAAAAAATTAGAAATGAGTCAGAAAGAGGAAAAATTCACAATAACAAAGTCCCAACCCACAGAAATCTATCACCCTTATTTATAATTTTTGTGAAAAAGTGTTGGTTGGGTAACAGGATCAATTTTCTATTGAAAAAACAATTGTTTTCTTACCGACGTTTTGAATTTAATGAAATTCTTCTTCAGTGCTCGAAAAGCAGTTCTTTTCGTGTTGATAATATTACTATTTTGAAAACCATCAGACATATTAGATACATATTAAAAAAATAAAAAACATTGCAAACAACTAATATTTTCGAGACAACCCCAACACAAAACGACATGAAACAAAAGTTTGTTTCTTCAAAACAACTTTATTCAGCCAAATTATGTTATAGTAAACATCTAACAGTATCTTACTCGGGTTCCGTTTTATAAATGTTCCAGTTTTTTGTTCGATCACTTTTGTAGATAATCCCAAAATATAATGTTGCAGCCAACTGCTCACCTTTATCTATTTATTTTTCACGATTTTCTTTCTCAAATGAGATATCACTCAGAAGAGGAATTCTACAGCTCATTCCTAATAGAAGACAGTTGAAATGTAATATATATTTATTTCCGTTCTTGTGTAAGGACTGTTCTGAGTTCAAACTTGCATTCGCCGCCAGTGGCATCTCTTAAGAGTGGATACTACCATACCTAGATAATACTGATGAATTCAATCGAAATAACGTTCTAGTACGGGATATCGCTTGATATCTGGTTGAATTGAACGAAAGCTGATAACGAAATAAATCGGTAGTTGAAAACTTTTTCAAAAACAAGTTTTCATTTACGTGTTCTTGAAAGAAGGAGATGAATTTCAATTGAATCAAACCCATGAATTCATTACATAACATGATTCATAGAAAAACGCTTATGTAAAAATCAAGTTACATATTGTATTGTTCATTTACACAGATACATTTTGTAACGAGCCTTTTGTCATATACATTGTTTAATGTAATATATTCAAGTATTTTTTTCATTCATTTTGTTTTTTCCATTTATTTTCTTCAGTTATCGTTAGACAAGGTTTCTACATTTGTTCGAACATCACCAAACTATCCCTAACCTCCACTGAGTTATAACTATTCGAAAAGCGTATGACGACCATTTTTTCTGCCATTTGGATTCATCTTGAATATGGTATATAAAATGAATGACGTCACGTAGCAAAATGCAAAATTTCAACTCAATTGGCTGACCTATATTATTATTATTATACTTCTTCAAAATTACGTTGCTAGGTTTCCCGTGTTAGGAATCACACGTTAAAAGGTAAGACCTCGTTAATCCTTAGCTCGCACAAGTTTCGACTTTTGAGGGTTGTTGTTCGTAGGGGTGCGACAGCTGGTTAACGGAAAAACAGATTTTAAACAGATTTTTAAACATAAAATGGAAATACTGCAAATTGAATGAAACTTATGTTTGAACCAGCATTGAGAATATTAAGAATTTTATTTTCTCTTAAATTTTTCAAGGTACCAATTTATGTTTTGCTGGAATTATCTTGACTTGTGCTATTTTTGGGTCTCTGATGAAACCTTTAGAATTGAAACCTACCAACGTTACTACTACCATACAAAAAGTGCCCTCCAAAACAGCTCTTTCTTGGAAAAATTTCAGTGAAGTGAGTAAAAAATATTTCCTACATAAAATTCCAATAGTTTGTTATTATTCCTCATTCTATACCTAATATCTCTTGTTTTTATCGATGGAAAAAATGCTTCTCGAATTCAATTTTCATATCCATCCATTTCATTTTTTCAATTTCAAAATACTACGATATGTTTTTGATGAAATAGGGCTTTGTTTCTGAATTTTCAAGAAAAAGCAGCAATCTGTCAACAATCCTCACAATATTTTCAGTTTAGTTTTGTCAAGGTTACCACCAACGTTTTTTCCGTAGGAAAATGTTTTGGAGCACAAAATTACAAGCTGATTTCACTTCTAAAGCATTCTCTCATTTGAAAAACACTATTGTGAGATTTTTACTGAACAGTTTTTCAAAAACGAAACACGTGTCTCGCTATTCAATAGCTTCTTCAGAGGTGTCTATTCCCATTTCCAAGTCCTATAACTAAAATTCAACCAATGAACATTTTACGAGTACTTCTTGGAAATTTTCGTTCATTAGTCATACTTTTTCAAAAATGAATTTTTATACGATATATTTTTATTTGTCAGACTGTAAGATGAATTGAGATTTTAGATGAATTTTTGTATCTTTAGTCACCTTGGTTCCATCATCATAATATACAAATTTCATAATTTCAACTTATATCAAAATTGATGCATGCGCACTAGAAAATTATTTGGTTTCGTGTTTTCTTTCTGATGAACTGTAGCTGATCCAGTAAAATTATGTGTGATATCATTAGTTTCGTGATCTTTGTTTTTGAGAACAAATTGAACTAGCCACTTCATATAAAATCAATGGGACGTAAATTATATAAATTATATAGTGCTAGTTTCCTTAATCGTATAGTGAAACTCTCAGTCACTCTCAGGTCTTATTATTTCCGTTGATTCCATAATCATGACATACTATTGGAGGAAATTCATCTGAAGTCTTTAGAATTATTAGCCAAAAAAGTTATGAGAATAATGACTGAAGCAAAATTAATGTATTTATTTCACTCTTTTACATTTCATGAACAGAAAGCTCATCGACATAACCAAGCTATAAAGACATGAGTAATGTAATTATTATTTGCAATTTCTCTATCAAATGACAGATCAAGTTATCAAATGCAATGATTGTTCGAATGTTACAAGTGGCTACATCAACTACGTCAAATCACAAGACTGTTATGTTTCAGGATCCGTCTGAAACAGAAACCGTATACAATTCGGTCTTATCGGTAGACATAAAAAACGATGTCATTCCACCCTTAGGCAGAAAAGACATATTTTACTCGGGGTCACTCACGAATCTGAAGGAATTCCAATCACAAGAATCGCTCAACAATTATAGGCAGAGCGTCATCAGCACTTCAAGATCAAAGTGTAAGTATACTATACGACTTTGGTGAAAAGAAAGCGAATTTTCATTTTTCTCGAAAAATATTTATTCATTCACCAATTGTTATTTTATCCCCTTTGACGATGCCCCCCTCAGATACAATACACATTTCACAATACACATACAGCATTTTTTCCAATCCTCGAAGCAGTTCTGATATACAGAAAAAAGTCGCAGGGAGCTTAATCTGGTGAATACGGTGGATGAGGCATGATAACGATGCTGTTTTTGACAAAAAAATTACGAACAAGCAATGAGGTACCTTTTCGTGATGCAAAAGTCATGAAATGTTTTTCCACAATACTGAAGACCATGTGGCAATAACTCGTGATACACTATTCCGCGGTAATCGGAAAAAAAAACAAAACCATGATTTTTTACCGAACTTGGCCTGATTTTTTTTCGGTCTTGGCTCTCCTGGGCTCTTCCGTTGGTACGAATGGACTTTGATTTCTATGTCTCAACCATATACCCATGATTCGTCATCATTTATGACTGTTTCAAACAAATCTGAATCGCTATTAACGTCATTCAACAATTCCTGAGCGATGCTCATGCGACAATTTTCCTGTCAAAATTCAGCAATTTTGGAACGAACTTTGCTGCCACACGCTTCATTCCCAAAATTTTAGAAAAACTTGCATGCCATGAGCCAAATGATCTTATAAAAAAATCGCTAATCGAATGTACTTAGCCCGAAAAATTTGAACACTAACCCTATTTTTTTAACAGTACTCTCCAAATTTCAAATTTTAGTTCGAATAGATATTTAGACTCTTGAGTATCTTTCAATCGAAGCACTGAATGCTGAAGAGAAATCTCTACAACAGTTGTTATTTCCAGAATTTTGAATTCTTGGTCGATTACTATCGCCATATTTTGTGACGATTTTCAAAATCAAATATCACGTGCTTTGAATGTTCGGAAAATATTGGGTAGTGGTTTAGGGTTTTGATGCTTTATGCCCTACTATGAAATACTCAGTTTCGAATACTTTTCATAAAATGCATGATAGCGTTTTATCTGCAGTGACAAAATTTTCTCTGAGCTCAGTATACGTCACACAATGTAAACTTCATTTTTCAGCTAGTTGAGTTCCACTTTGAGATACTTAGATATGTATTTTGAGTCATTGTAATATACTTCTTTTTTATTAAATCAGAATTTTCAGTACGCTTTTTTTTTGGTTTTCATTTCACTGTTTTCATTATCATCGACTCCAGAATTTCACATCGTCTTCCTAGTTTCTCTACCGCAGGTGGTTTATTCTTTGTTGATGTATAATTTCGGTAAAATACCTATGGAAATTATTATTCAACTCAGGATTTTGTGGTGTCGGACATTCTACAAATTTCAATATTATTTTTATCAACTCTTACTACATGCTTCACATATTGCAGAGCACTTTTTTTTTCATAGCTGCCATAACCTATGAATATTGGTACTTTATCATTGTGCTGTATTCAAAATAGAATATTTATATATTACTAAGTTCGAGTATCACTTTCTAACCTCACAGGAAATATCTTCAGTTGTAAACAAATACTCTATTTGACGTTTTTTCCATCTCCTCAGATAGTATTTCCAGGACATGTACTGCCCTTGCTATTGCTATAAATGTAAGAAAAAGTTTTTCAGGCATCAGCACTCAGTAAAAAGAAAGACAAAAGACATTGAAATATGTTTTGTGGTAGTTGGCACTAATCAGTATAATGTAGCCGGTAGCCGATGATGCAAAATGAAGCACAAATACATGAAGTCATCAATAGGTAGCTGTAGCTGCCTCCGTAGTAGTGCTAGTAGTGATCTCGTGAACACAAATAAACTGTTATCCAAAATTATAAGTGTGTGTATCTTTTGCTGATTGCCTTGTGTATTCGTGCTTCTTTTGTTGCAAGTATTGTTTTTTATGCACTTGTCTACATCATACTAGCCAGCAAACTTGTGCTTATGGTTTGCTTTTTGTTGCTTCGATAACCTTCGCATTTGTATCATTTCTTGGACCTGGATGTTACGCAAATAAGTGTATTTACATAGATAATACTTTTCATTGTAAAGAACTTCTAACCGAAATCGTAGATGTGCGACTAACTTTTGTTGATGGCACCGTCGATGGCTAACTTATTCGAAACTGAAGTTTGCTTTTTTCTGAGTGCTAAGGTACGATAAAACTTTTGAATTTTCATGAAAACAACAGTGGAGTTCTTCCATTGTGAGTTCTTCGAAGATCAATGTTTGGCCATATTTGAGAATATTTTTGTTGAAAACTAACCCTGAAGCAATAAAAGAATCAGCTTATAATAATGATTCATTTTCCAAACTTTTTTCAGCTAAACAAGTATGTCTACCAAAAAGTATTGGCGATACCCTTAGCGAGTTACTGGATTTCAGTTTATTGAAGAATCCCGTATTTATGGTTCAAGGAATTTCCAGCATTTTTTGCATGATTGCATTCTACATACCGTTCGTCTATATAATAGAAAGTGCAAAAATTGAAGTGAGTAATATCAATTATCAATGAAATTTTACTTTTCAAAAAATTCTGAACAACTCACTCTCATATAAATACTAAATATATGGATTTGATGTTTAGCGACAAATAAAATAACAAAATCAATTTTCGCATTTTTCACATAAGTTATTGGAATACATTTGGGACGACGAAAGAATACACATGCCTCGTCGATAAAATACCAGTACTTTTATATAGCGTTCTCTTCTTCAACAAGTAAAAAAGGAAGAGAGAATTGTAAACGTGTTTCTTCCATTTTTCATTATATACTGTTTGCGAGACAATATGAATACAAAGACAATTTTTTTGTCAATTCCAACTTGCAGACTGTAACATACCAATTTTTTTTTATACTCTCACAGATCCGGGATGTTTCTGAACAGTCTGCAGTAGTACTCCAAATAAATGCTGACACCCATTCACCTATTGTTTATTTTGATAATTTTCATTCATGTTACGATTAGGAACACAAATTGATGTCGACAAGTATTATTTTTCTTCTGTTCAGTCATATACTTTATTTTCATAGCGAAGTGTAACGTAGAGTCAGAAGTGAGGTACAGAGAGAGATATGTACTCTTAGAAATATCATACTCATATCGGTGGGCTTTGTGTACCTAATGTCTAATGTAACAGGCGGTAGAATTGCTTGAACTTTGAACCGATAACAATTCTATTTGTTTTCAAAAGGTCTTTTCTGTGCCTGGCTTCGTATTTGGATACATAATAATAATAGCATAATAACCAATAAAAGTATAAGAACCACTAATAGCATGAAAACAGCAATGAATTGAACAAAAGGAAATTCACTTAAACGTGTCTGGCTACACTGTAAAATATAGGTCTGAGATGGGTACTGCTGGAGTCCCAGATCTCAATAATCAGAGAAGTCTTTATTTAAAGGAGTGTGAAACAAAAGCCCTGATTTTTCTTGATTGTTTCTGAAATTGTTGTAAGCTAAAGTGCATTAAACCCCACGGCAAGACCTTGTATTTTGTTATCATTTTTGTTGAAGTCATCATTGGAAAGAGAAAATAAATTAAGAATATGAACACTCTGATTCATTCATACACTGACCATTTATTTTAATACTGATTCATTATTTTCGTTTATTGATTCATTTCAAGGTTGGGGATGTAAAACCCTATTAAAACTCTTAAGTGAACCTGTGTAGATGGCGTCCAAATAAGACCGTTCAATTTGGTAACCCCTTTTCTTTGCAAATCAAGAGCTAGTCATTCCAACTTGGTACATGTACCACTTTCTTGTTCAAAATCACGAAATGAGTGAGGTAACTTTATACTTCAATCAGAGACAACAAATATCACTTGTCGGCTATTTCTTAGATTCTGAGATCAAATGATGACATTACTATCGTTTGATAGTTCACATTGTCAACATGTTGTTAAATGAAAAGTTTCTACGATTTTGATGTTCTTATACACACTGGAAGCAGTTGTTTTCACAATTGATAAACTGAGGTGTTGTGTATTACATATATTTATATATTTGGTACACCCGTTATATCATTAGTCGAAATTATTATCAAGTTGTCAAATAGATGTCAATTAAAAAGATCATAAAGAGAACTCACATATTCATTATAAAGTGTTATTAATACATGAATCAAATCAAATACTACTCATTCACAACAGTTTTGGCGAATTAGAAAGATTATAAAGATCAAAAATAATCGAAAATAAAAACATTCAAAATGGACGCCCAACAGTTCAAAGAATTTATGGAATTTCAAACTGCAATGATATCTACTCTCTTTTCCCAATTACAAAGTTCACAGAGTCAGACAAACCGTGAATCATCAAGCAAGAGAGAAATCGTGATGAATACAGCACTTTTAGCTAACTTCGAAAATTTTGACAGCAAGAAAGAATCGTTTTCAAATTACAAAAGCAGGTAACAGAATTACCTTCAAATGAAGCAGATCAATACAAATAAGCCTTATTGTGCTCAATTACTACTAAATTCTATTGGAGCTCAAAATTTCAACATGATTACAGCTTTGGCTGCTCCTAAAACTCCTGATCAGTTGACATATGATGAATTGATAAAGTTATTGGAAGAACATCTTGCACCAAAGAAGAACGTTTTAATTGCTCGACATCACTTTTTGTCAATCTATCAAAATGAACAACAATCAATTCCAGAATTTGTAAGTACACTTAAGAGTAATATAAGTGACTGTGAATTCACATGCGAGTGCAAGAAATCAATTGCAGAAATCTTCCTGACAGCTCAATTCATTCGTGGCTTATACGATAATAGCATTCGTGAAAAATTACTTCAGTCTGATAGTAAAACTTTTAAAGACATTTTTACGAGAGCAATTGTGCTCGAATCTTCGAAAATTGATGCTCGCAAAATTGCCCAGAAAACAATTTCAACATCATCTTCAACAGTTGATATCAATAAAGGGTAAATTTTCGTTATGTGGACACCCGGCGATTTAGAAAAAATGTTTGACTGTACTTACGTATTTTGATGCGTAGATTACGAATCCGAAAGAAAAAAGCGGTGCTCTCCCTTATTTCAAAAGTTACGGCCCTTCAAAGTTCAGAAAAGGGCAACTTTTCAGCCTTCTTTTTCACTAAATAAACTATTTAAAAACACAAGCATTTATTCACTAGGTCACCTTTACACCTTATTCCTCCTTCTTCAACACTTTTCACTTCAATAATCAACATTTTTCTTATAAAAAACTTAATTAAAAACGAATGCTTCTCCTGGTGACATTATTCAATTTTTAGGTTAGTTACTAGTGACATTTCAGAAAAAAGCGGTTGGTATTTGCCGTCGCATACTATTTCAAATTCGTAATACACCACCAAAAACCAATTTACGATCTAAAGAATGAAGGTAAAAAACATTTGAATTACTTCAGGAATATGGACTGCATCAGTCGTACCAACCATATCATTAACCTTAAAAACGTAAAATACAGTGATATGTAACCAAAAAGCGGCTCCGTACATTTTTTAACATTTTTATAAGAAAAATGTTGATTATTGAAGTGAAAAGTGTTGAAGAAGGAGGAATAAGGTGTAAAGGTGACCTAGTGAAAAAATGCTTGTGTTTTTAAATAGTTTATTTAGTGAAAAAGAAGGCTGAAAAGTTGCCCTTTTCTGAACTTTGAAGGGCCGTAACTTTTTAAATAAGGGAGAGCGCCGTTTTTTTCTTTCGGATTCGTAATCTACGCATCAAAATATGTAAGTACAGTCAACAATTTTTTTAAAATCGCCGGGTGTCCACATAACGAAAATTTACCTTCGGGATCAGCTTATACGTTTCTTCAACGTCAACAATTACAAGATTTGAATCTGAATATTCCTCTTGAACCAGCAACCATCGGATTCCGCTCATATACTCAAGATGTTTTCATACACGATGGGAAGATTGTAGTTAACGTTTCTTATGGTAACATCAACATAAAAGAAGATGTTTATATTGTGCCAGATAATTACGCTGCTATTCTTGGTAGAGTTTGGATCTGACGCCTCAAGATAGATTTGAATCAACTAAGTCAACGAAACACTTCAGTACCCTCTGAAAGATTCAACCTGTGGAGTGTAGACGAACTAAGCGCAAAATATCCAAATGTTTTCGAAGAGAAAATTGGATGTGTTCCAGGTTTCAATGTTGTTCTCAAGTTACGTGAAGGTGTACAGTCATGTTTCCATCGTGAACGTGAAATTCCCTACGCACTCAGCACATTGATTGAAAAAGAGTTGGATGCTTTGAAACCCGTTCATCATGAAAAATTAGCATCATCAAATAAAACGCCACGACAATTCAGCGTGGGAGAAAGAGTTCAAACAAGGTATTACACAAATAATAAACAGTTATGGAAGACAGGAGAAATTATCAAGAAATTTGGGCTTCTCTACTATCAAGTGAAACTCGATGATGGATATATTTTGAAGAGACATATCAAACAGATAAGATCGACCAACTTGCCCAAAAGTAAATCCGTCTTTTTCGCACCTGAAGTAGAAGTTATTCATGAAGATCAATCAAAACAGCCTAATATAACTGATTGGGTGACGATTCCAGTGCAAGATGAACAAGCCAATCAACCCGATAATATTCAAAATGAGGTGTTTGAACCAGATCAAATTGAAGTACCTGATGATCAAATACCTCATCCACCAACCAACATCACAGAGTTGAGAAGGTCATGCCGCCCTGTTAAACTTCCATCGCTCTTCAACGATTACATAGTTGAAAAAAAAATAATTCAATAAGCGTGGGAGATTGTTGTGTATTACATATATTTATATATTTGTTACACCCGTTATATCATTAGTCGAAATTATTATCAAGTTGTCAAATAGATGTCAAAAAGATCATAAAGGGAACTCACATATTCATTATGAAGTGGTATTAATACATGAATCAAATCAAATACTACTCATTCACATAATGAGGGCATTTAATGTTTCATAGTGAATAAACTTTGTATCGCAATTACAGATTCCAATCTTGAAAAGGAATAGCTCGCTCTAATGTCCGTATTCTAAAATGTTTATATTGCCAGATATCGAAGTTGAAAAGATGAATGGAAAAAATAATTTTTCCCCCATGCCCCCTCCCAGGTAGAGTGCCCCGAGTTGAAATCTTCTCCACACGGTTAATGTGGGCAGAACATCCCATCTCGTCTATCCACCCCCACCGAGCGTTCCTCAACTAATTGATGGGCACTTCAGCAAGATTGACATCTGACCTCTTCTGGTCGAAAGTCAGCCTCTAGGTGCTTTTACTTTCTGATCTGTTGTTTGTTTTATCTTGACTTTCCTAACTGAATTTTTGCATGGGGACTCCAAAAACTAACCGGAGACTATTGTTTCAAAAAGAGATCGCGGTCGTGTGCTTCTCGTTGAACCTGAAAACGAAATGTTACTTCAAAATTATACTTACCGACTCTCGGGGGTGGCTTCTGGTTCTGCTTCGTTGGTCTCCTGTGTTTGTCCCTCTCCAGGAATCTGGGGCATCCCTGTTCAGTGCATTGTGTAGATCGCTTAGCCTATACTATTTTCAGAAAATAATTAATACACAAGTTAATACAAGTTAATACATTCGGATACCTTCTATAGGTACCTGAAATAACAAATGTTACCTGACATATCCATACCAATAGTGCAACAATAACTATTTATCTTCTATGATAATCAAGAGCACCAACTGTCGAACTCCAAAAACCTGGATTTTTTCAGCTATTAGTGGATCACGGAAAAAAAAGATTTGTCGAATGAAAGAAAATTCACTTCATTCAAAGAAATAAAAGTGTCATTTATGCAAGACAAAATATTTTGTTAATGCAAGTAAAAAGAATTCTTGACTCCCAACTATTTCTTCAAGCATATGTTCATTGTATCAAACAAATATTTGATTGAAACAATCACATCCATTAGTTATTTCAATTCAAAGAAGAATTGAATTCAAGTTATATTTTGTCTAATTGATAGCGAGAATGATTTAGAGTAATTCGAATATTCTATTGAACAAACAAAATTTAAAGATGGGTGAAATAGTGAATCTGATTGAAATAATCAAATGTATTTTCTATTTGAGTAAAAGTTATGTTGAAGAAACATAATATATCTGCAGGATGATGGAGAACTTTGCTTGTTTTGATAATGGAAAAATTTCCACTAAAGTAATGATTTTTTGAACAAATAATGAATAGTAGTTGAACGAACAATGTTTATACCTCATTGTGAGTATCTTGCTGATAGAGTAAAGCATTTCGAAAGTTCAAAATAAGTATGAATAATGATGAACCAAATGATATAAAGTTACAAATCAAAATCCTTCCCTCTTGTTTGAATTTGGTTATTGGATTCAATTAACCAAATATTATACTAATCTGAGTACCAGCATCTCGTTGGTAGTAATGGAGTTTCAGATCAGTTCTACTGAAAATTACTTTTCTCTTCTCTAAAACTTCAATATGTTTTTTAAGTTTGTAGATAAAAAGCATTACATATAGTTTTAGTAAATTGAGAAAAGTACTTTTCGACAGAATCAGAAATACAGAGTCAGTGATTGAATTTACATGAATCTCCAATAAAAAAAGATCAAGTTATTGAATAATTGTGAGAATATATTATAGTTTGTTCAACAACCCGATTTCTCAATACATGAAATACACTTTGTATCATTTTCTCAACTGGATTATTGATCTACTTACGTATCACGATTTTTTTAATCCTAATCTAAAACATTAACATATTTTATTATTTATTATTATTTTTGGTGATATCTAAAAATATCTATCTAAAAAACAATTGATTTCGAAACCTTTCAACAGAGATTAGTGATAGTCTACATTTTCGCAATAATACAATTGAATCAATTTCTACTAACCAGCTTGGATATTGTCTCACAGAAATATAAAAATATAATAATTTTTTTGTACAAATCCAATTTAACAAACGGAGATACCCTTATTTTTGATAATAGGAAAAAAACAATGACGTACTTCATCACAGAAAAATTTGATTAGAAATATGACTGTGATGACAAAATTCACCTAGGTCTCCAATCATAACTTTCAGGCCTTCAAATCTATCAAATTTGAGAATTCTAGCATTTAATTACTTAGGTACAGACCTGAATAATAATAAGTATCTACAGCAAATCGCAAAAATATATAGTTATTTGAGAAAACTGAATATGTTTTTATTTGTAATGGTATACATATTTATTATAAAAATTATGAATGAAAGACATACCTCTATTATATATGATTATTAATTCATTCGATCAATTGCTTCCTTGATTGAATATTTTTCTTTTGCCAAATGGGAGAATCATTTCTTCATCAGTGAGCCTTTCAGCTATGTCTAAGGTTACATCATTTTCTGTTTGAAAAGTATGTGTTTTAAGTGTATTAGTAGGAGATAAATAATATATGTATTTTTTTTACCTTCAAAAATGCCAATCAGATCATTTAATCCCAAGTTATTAAGAAATTCCTCCATGTCTAAAAATAAAAGAGATTATATTGCATGTTTTGAGTTCGTGCAGTTTTGTTGGATGCCATCATTTCGGTATTACTTATTTTAATAAATTAATACAAGTGAAAACTGTGATTATTTCACAATGTTATTTGAAAAAAAATCTTGAAAGGAGGTTCCTTCAAGGATTCAGTATATACTATCATGATGAAAATGAAATCATTGTTTACGGCACCATTCAATTATTTATGATGTAAGAAATTTAGAATTCGAAACAAAGGTACAGCTCTTCGCTGACATTGTATACCTACACCTATTTCCGTGGCAAACACCTTAATTGTATTTACTCTGAAAATGTCCAATTCCTCCGTATCCTGAAATCAAAGGTCAACTAGGTACCCAATGTATGCATACCTACCTACCTCTCAATGATAATCATTTCACTCGACAACTTCTACTTTCTTAAAAACATAATTGAAAACATCGAAGCTTTCCTTCAGTCATTACATTAAACAATAAGAACTTCAAGACACTTTTATAGATAGCTGTCGAGAAAAATGTATGGGCTTGAAAAAAACGATGTCCGTTTATCCACTACATGCTATTCATAATTATTTCAAAATATGGAATGAAAGAAAGTATATTATCAACATACCTGTGAAAACACTGAAAAACTTCAATCCACGTATAATCAAAAAGAAACTGTAAACCTCTTCGTCATTTCCTTGAAAAACACAAAACACCTTTTTAATTCTTATTCCATTCGTGATTAGTTTACGGTTCTTGCGAAAACGCAAATGGTGCCGACCGGCACTCTATTCCTTAGAAGTATTTCAACTATACCATTTCTTTCAAGGAAACAATTTAATTTTTCTAACCAACAAATAATAAAAATATTGAAATGAAATTATCCATAGGCTTCAAATTATTTCCAAAATTAATTAAATGTATTGATATGTATTGTTGAAGTGAAAATAAATATTCAGCTGATTCAATTATATATTAGTGTCAAAACAGCACCCCATAGTGCTAAACTGAATTGGAAAGTTTTCATTCAACAGACGTACTTTTGATTTGATAAAATTATATTGTTTGACTGAACCGAATTATTTTGAGAACTCAATAAATGTTATTCTTGAAATGATCCACAATTCATTTGACTAAGTAAAAGACCTCTTGAATTGAAATATTAGAGAAATTAAAATGAGAACTTCATTTTGTCTCCGCAAAATTATCATCTAATCGAAACAATACACACGTCGTTTGGAATGAATGATATTTAATCAAAGTGATGAAATAAATTAGACTAAATAAATTTCTTTGGAGTAACAAATCTTTTTTTTCCGTGATCCTAAACTAACATTGGTTATTTCAGGTTTCTATTGCTGACTGTATGATCTTATAGTTAAGGACTCGTTTTGACAAAATGTATCAGTTGCTTGAGGATATTTCAAACAATTTACAAAGTTTCTAATTTTTGTTACAGGGTATCGAAGCCAGTAATGCATCTTCTCTGTTATCTCTCATAGGTATAGTGAATACAGTGGGTAGAATTCTTTTTGGATTTATAGCAGATTCACCAAAAGTGGACTCTCTTCTACTCTTCAACTCATGCATTAGCCTGACTGCAGTTTCAACTGTCCTCATCCCTTTCTGTCACACTTATGTAACATATTTTATAGTTTCTATCAGTTTTGGTATCGGCATCTGTAAGTATAGCATACTTTTGTTTATTTCAGCTGTATTATATGAAATCTATGATGAAATAATTTCGTATCGTAGAGTAAGGTGTCTTCAGGCAGAGCTGCAAACTATGTGACCTTCACAAAATTGAAGTTCACCAGTTATAATACCATGTATTGAAAAAAGTTAACAGTGATCTGATTTCCAGCTGATACCTGGTTTCGAACTGAGCATTTTCAATAAAAAATAATTTACCCAGTTTGAATACGTTATTAGCATTGATCTCTAAATTGTCTTTCTTATTTTCGCAAAAAGAAAACTTCATGAAAAGTGACATTCTTCCAAATTCATCTCTGCTTATCCTCAGAGGTCTCCTATTTGGATATCTCCTTCAAAATAATATTTGAGAAAAGTTGGGAAAATTTGCGAAGGTTCATAGTTCATAGATACTGACAGAGATACATGCTGCTTTTAAAGAAAAAAACTACATTTTAGGCCCTCGAGCGTCTGTGAAAGTTTCATTTAAACCTCAAGATGTCTTGAAGAGATTGCAATCATGACTCCTGAGGGTTCTTTCTGAAATTGAAAATAGTTAATTTTGAATCACTTCTTTGACATCTTTCAAACGAGAAGATCACTATTACCCCCACTAAGACTGAAAAAAGGTCACAAACGTTCCTACTGAGAAGTCGCTCTAGGAAATGTCGAAAGAATTTTCAAAATTCCAACGATTTACTATTGGTCTTCTGGATATGAAAATACACTTATAGTGGCTCAACTGAAATTAGTGGAGTTTATATGGAAGATATTGAAACCTGAAATGAAATTTGACCTGTATAAGATAAATAGATACTTGAAAGATTGATGCTCTTTTTCCCATTTTTGAAATCATTTATCGCATTTCGGCAAGCTATGTTTGAAATTTCAAAAGCTCGTCTTTCATTTTGAGGAAACCACCTCATTTTACGCTACAATTCATCATTTAATTTTTTGTTTACAAGTGAACTTATTTCTTTGGTCGCGCCTGGGGTCAAACTTGTACGATTACAAGAAATTCGACCAAACTCTCATCCAAAAGCGTAAATTTTCAATAAGTACATTGAATTTGAAAAATGATAAGAAAGGTTAGCTCAGATTGAAAAGTATGCATAGTTTACATTTTTCAACTATTATGCTCAGAGTACATCAGTAATAGAAGACTTCTGATGATACTCGGGCAGATTATTTACTCATAGCTTCACTCATATTTCAGTAAAATAGTACAGTGAAGACTAATTACAAGTGCACTGTGGTTTTTCATTTCTATTTTCAGCAGGATTCATGTCATTGACTTCCGTTACTCTGGTGGAGCTTCTCGGACTGGATAAACTAACGAATGCCTTTGGTTTAATTATTTTATTCCGTGGCTCTGCTGCTCTTATCGGATCTCCGATGGGTGGCGCCCTCTACGATGCTACTCAATCCTACCGTTTTTCATTTTTTGTAGCAGGAGGTTTATTTGCTGTTGCCGCAGCCATCAGTTTTGCTACGCCATTTTTCAAGACGAAGAAAACTGTAGATAAAGATGAAGCTCTCATGCCTATCAATGCATGAGATCAATTGATTATTTTTTTTACATTTCGCAATATATATTCCTTATTGAAGTTAATCTAGTTTTTATTCCACAACTGTGATATAAAATTTTTCGTTTATGATTGTTTTCACCATTGAAACACGCCCTGAAAGTGCAATTGGAATTGTTGTGACACAGGGTTCAATATTGGACACTGTTCTGTGTTGTATATCATTGAGCTGACAATATCATTCAAATGCTCGCTTGCTAAAATCTTATCACTCATCACAAATTGCACCGAATTCAGTTTATCACACATATATGTGATATGTGTCTTCCAATCTAGGTTTTGCTCGATATACATTTCAACAAAATTTGACAGAAATCTTTTGCCAGGATTACCATATTTTTCCATAGATTTACGTCTTTTCCATACTGGAACAGACTTTGTTTCTTCTCTATTCAATAGTAATTGGTTTCTAGCGAATCACCTCTGCGCTTCATTCAGCTGTTGCACAGTGCACATTTGTATTGATTTGCTCACTGTCAATGTAATGGACCTATTACGCTACCCTGAGGAATACCCACTGACAGGGTACGTGTCTTTGGGAAGTACTCATTTCTATTCATGACTGTTCTTTGTTGATAAGATAAGACCGAATCCAATTCAGCGCTGGTCCTCTTATGACATATCTTAGTTTTTCTAGTATGATAGCGTGTGACAAATCTAAAAATATACGCATATATATAGTAACATATTCATTTCCTGCAATTATCTTTCTATAGAGTGATAGACTGCAGTGTTTTTTTAAAACCAATGCTGTGAGTGAATTAGCAATTCGTGTGTGTAGAAGAATCCATGAAGTCGAGTGCACATGGCGTCACAAATATTTTCGAGAAGAGCAACAAATGACTACTTTGCGATAGGTTTTTCCAGTGCCAGTTTTAGACTGCTTGGAAATTGTCCATGTTATAGTGAGTTGTTCATCATATGCAAGAGATACAGAGCTAAATCATAGGCATAACACATCATTATATTATTGATTAATTTATCACTACTGCACCTATTCTATTTTTCAATTTGAGAATTGTTTCCAGGATTTCAAGAATAGACTGAGATCTTCCGCTATAGTACAGTTTGCATGAAAACTTCGATTTTGATAAATCTTTTAATAAATTTGTTGCTGTGTTTAGTATAAAATCATTGAAATCATTAATTATTCACCATGTCTGGCTGAACTGTAGTTTCAGATTCCATCTATTTACTCCTGTATACATTAATTTGATCAACTATTCGTCACAAGCATTCTGATCTATTATCGCTGTTACATATTTGATTCTTGTAGTTATCTGTCCGCGTATCTATCAGCATTATTAACGTGTTCGGAATCACATATTGAAAGGTAAGACCTCGTTAGTCCTTAGCTCGCACAAGATTCGACTCCTGAGGGTTGACGTTCGTAGGGGTGCGGAAAAACATATTTTAAACATTGAGTTGTATCTCTTATTGGTGTCTTCATATGCCTCATCATATCCCTCTTCAGTTTTGCTCGAGATTAATAATATATCAGACGAGTTTCGCATTCAATTGTGTTGGGTACTGAACCTTTTTTTAGATCCACGTATTTTTACCAAACTCCCAGATATCATTAAACAGCATAAAAGTGTGAGACATTTCAAAAGAGACTTGAAACATTTTTCATTGGAGAAATGTTTTTATTCGCTTCGCGAATTTTTAATTGAAAATTAATGTATACTATCTTATCTTAAATTCATATTTTATTTTTTTAAAATGCTTTTAATAGCCTTAGAATTAGGCCCATACATGTAACTGTCAACGGGAAATAAAGATTTATTATTATTTACTATTATTAATGAGCTCCCGTCAGTAGCTCCCGTCAATATAAATACCACCAAACACCTATCGATACCTCGGTTCAATCTAAGTTACATCAATTTCTTGAAAATGGCTTCAAAATATCGAAGCTCAAACATGAGATGTGATACGGCTAATCAATTTCCTGGCTGTCTGTCCAACAAATTACAATCCCTACATCGAATTTTTATTTCACTGTATAATTTCGATATACCTAGTTCTTGCACTTGCTTTCATTATTTTTCAGAACATTATCAATATCGGGGTAATATCTTCAGAATTTGGTAAAGAACTGAAAATAAGTTTGTTATTTGAATCACCTGGGAAATTGATTGAATAATTCTCTTGGGAATGGATTGATTGTTAATTATCCACATAGGTAGGTATTGAACCTTCACAGATATCTGGATACAATATAGACAATGACAAACTCTTGATAATAACAGTCTATGTATTTCTTTGAAATCTTCCTCATGAGCATGATTTAGTTAGATTAAGAACGCGCTTCTACAGAACCACTGCCACTGATATAGATTAAGTCGTCTGTAACTATGCCAATGGAGTAATTACCCATAGAGTAGGTTAATCAGTGATTTGTATAATAATGCCGATATTTGTAATAGATATTGATATATTATCTTATTGATTTTGGAAGATGAAAGCTCTAAGGTTGTTGCCACTTGTATATTTTGTGATAACAAATTCAATTGTTGCTATGATTAGAAATTAAATCACTTTACGTACATCAAGCGAAGTGTTACATTGTAGGACTCAGAATGGTGAGTTTTTCATTTTTCTTTTTCGTTTACAAATATTGCTTGATGGTAGGATTCTCATGAGTTTGATCACTATAAATTATTTTTATTGAAATAGAGAAAATCTAGATTCCCTGTAATGAAACAGAATAAATCTGGAAAAAAATTTATTGGATTATATCACTAAATCTCTTTTTTATATAAAGGTTATTCGGGAGTTCCCCAAGGAACCGGACTAGGTTTACTTCTTTTTTATCATTAGGATCACTAGTTTTTGTTGACGATACAAAGATATTTTGGATAATTGAAGATAATGACACAAATGTTATGTTGTAATAGTTAGACCAGATAAATGGAAGGATCTATGTATTCTTTGATGAAAAACTGACATTTTCTATCTTTATTGAAAACATTTCGGAAAAAGTAACGATAATTTTGGGCTTTGATACAATAAATCACGGAAAAATTCAATTGGGACTTCGCGTGTTGTATATTTTTCACTCGTACATAAGCTTAAAGGCTGCAGTCAAACTGGGAATCCTGATCAAGTCAATACGATGAATATTTCAGCCCAAAAAAGTTCTGAAATTAATTCATAATTGAAATTATGCAAAATTTTTCCATGATTACAATATACCTCTTGGGAAGCTCAAAATGTTTTTACAAAAGCTTATTCACTCATCGCTATTACTTTTTTGGATGATTTCAATATTTCTCCAATATTTGCGAGATTTAATATATAACTTTTTATATATTATATATATTATTATATTTATATAAAATCTGGATCATATAAAAAGATATTTTGTCTTTCTCATCTCCATAATTATATCAGTTAGTGGTCACCCACGTGGTAATATTCTATAATCCGATAATTCGCTTTTGGTGTTTCGGATGTACGTATTGATAATAAATAAATGAAATTTTAGACGATACAAACTACCGTTTCTATCGCGATGATTTTTAACTTTCGAAATCGTGCAAATTTGATCAGTTTGAATTTTGAGTTGGCTATGGTTACGTTGAAGAAATGATTCACGTAACATGTTCGAAAAATACTGTATTTTTGGACGAGTAGACTGAGATCCTGGAGTTCCAAAAAAAACTGTTTTCAGGCGTATTGCGTACACTATTTTTTTGGCAACCGTGTAGAATAACAAATCAATGATACACATTTCTTCTTAACATTTCTTTGTAGAATGAAATTTCAAACATTTCAATTCTTATTTGTATTCAAACATTTATAATGGTATTTATTCAAACATTCGAACAATTGCTGAAGGGATATAATTTGTTTGAAATACTTGATATATTTAGACATCTTTTGTTGCTGTCAGAACAAGAAGGTAATATTCCCGTTTCACAAGGATTGTTTCCATTTGATAATTTCTGAATGGCAATTTTGATTTTGTTTGCAAGTGAATTATCTTTACATCCTTCAGCGACATTGGTAAACTTCCAGTTACCGTGTATTTTCAAATATGTGATGATTCCACCATTATCAGCAAATAACGTCGGGGTTTGAACAATGTCCTGAATTAATTTTTTTTTGTAATTCACGAATGATTTGTTATGTAGAGTATTGAATGACCGTTAAGATGAATACTGCCTATACAACAGCAGGTTTTCTTGCCTAATTACAATAAAAGCTCTTTTGTCATTTATTAGATCGATTGACATTTCTGATAGTTCTTTTCGTCTACACGCATTGACTAACCAATTTTTGTTGCTATCTGAAAATTAGGCAAACTGAGTTGATACTTTTATATTCTGCAATAGAAATATTTCGTTGAAATCACCTTCAGCATTGGATATGTTTCATTATTTGCTCCCCTAATGAAATTGTTGATCTGCTTGCTGTTGAAGATTTCTGATTCCTTCACTCCATAACCAACATTCTTCCTTTCAAGAAATGCGACAATCTTTGGAAAGAAAGCTGTGTTTACATTTTTCTTCATAAAAATAGTTAGGTTAGGTTAGATCCAAAGTGAGTGGGTCTATTCGACCCTCCACAGCAACCCGCAAGGGTTTATTGTAGCTCACACCTATTCACACCCGACCTAATAAACCCAGCTTCTTAACGAAGCCAATTAGTTTTCATGGTGAGTGGTCTTTCAGGTTGGATGGTAAGAGTACGGCCCTGCCGAACTCTAAAAACCTGATTCGGTCCCCAGCGGTGCAAATACAAAGTATGTGCTTTGCTGTTTCATTATTTTCCACATAGACTGCCTTCCGACAGTCCGAGTCTCTGCATATGATGATTCAAGTGACAGTGACCTATAAGAAGGCCTGTTAGACATAGTAGCTCATCCCTACAGTAGTCCAACAACTGTTTGGTATCTAGCTTCGGAGGATAAACAAACGCCTTGGAGTGAGCCAATCCTGGAAGATTCTGCCAGAAGACCATAAATTTTCTTGCCATCCAGGTGTTCAATGTTTCTTTGGCAAAGCCTTAGGCCATGCTAATGACAGGTTCTGGAACGATGAAACTGCTTGCACCACCCGCCTCTGCAAGGGAGTCAGCAGCCTCACTGCCTTTCAGGCCAGTATGGCCAGGAATCCAGGAATCGAGGAGACTCGTTTTTTGGCAATTTACTACTAATACGTTGCTCGGTAGGAGCCAAGAGCTTCCAACGCCGCTTGACTGTCCGAGAATATTTTTATTAAATTGCGTATGAGGTTGGATTCTTCCACCATCTCCGCAGTAAATTTCCGCTTGAAATAGAGTCGCATAGATTCCTAGGCAGGCTGATATCTCTGCCCTGGGTCTGCGACTGAAGACACCTGCACCAGAACCGGAAGGTGTTTTTGATCCATCTGTGAACCAACAACTATCTGCTCCTAATATTTCCTTCTCCCGGAGGATCCAATCCTCTCTACTTGGGATCATAAAAATAGTACTTTCAAACATAAGTACGTGTTCCACAAGGAAAATGATTTGACACTTTCAAATTTCTGTGCTAAATAAGACAAATCACATTCTCTTCAATAGTTTTGCATTTCTTCATATCCATACATTTCGAGTTCAAATCATAAACGTTTTCAGGCAGAAATTGTGCTGTAGTAGCAAATGAGGCATAGGAAATTTCGTAGGGCACATTTTCAAACTTACTATCGCTATCTTTTTTCTTAGTTTATTAGGATAATTACGAGCAAAAACCTTTCAAACTCTCAAAAATCATAAGGTCAACTAATTTCATGCCAAATAGCTGTCAGTCTTCATTTTGCTGCTATGATAATGATCAACTGCATTTATTAAAACTGTATCTATCAATATTTCCATATTAACAATGACAACAATGATGTGATTCTTCCTGGCCTAGTCCGGGAAACAGGTACTTTCCATACTAGGCCGGAAAAATGCTACTTCCTCGAAGAAAAAGCTTCCGGAAAGTGAGTACTTCTTAGAGTGTTGCCAAAAAATGTATTAAATGTATGAAGCTGTCATAAATCATTGGAAAATGATTGCTAATCATGCCAGAGCATTGAAATTGTACAATTTTGGAATTTATGAATTTGACATGTGAATTTGGACCCAAGAAAACAATATTATATGGACATATGAAAGTTCACTTTACAAAAAATGCGGATGCAACTCTCGTTATTGGGGTCATTCAAGAATGCATTCCAAAATATAGAGCCTGAAGCATATCTACGATTCTTTTTAACACCTACTAAAGCTCATACCTTCAGCAAAGTCTATATAAATGATTTTGCACCATTTCCAAAACGGACATGACTGAAAATTTTCTGAAACAACTTCACGAAAACACCTTGTTTTTCCAAAACTAAATGAGTAGCAAAAATAAATAGATAGCAATCCTGAGTTTCTGTATTATTAGAACTTTGTAGGTTTTCAAATTTTCCTTCAAAGGCCCGTAGTGATAATTGAAAGTTAGAAAGCGGTGCCTGTGCATCGCAGCCTTATTGAAAAAATAATAATCGAAAACTTTGTTACGGTTTTTAAATAGTATATAATTTGGTAGTTTATATCAAATCAACATATTTAACATCAAATTCTTCTCATTGGATAGAAATAAATCAGGCAAAGCTCATGAAAGTCGTTCTGAGTTCTGTGTTCTGGGCGACGACTTGTTCTCTTTGCAGCGAAATACATAATACCAATAGATTATCTGTTTTTGACCATAAACATATAGATTTCAGTTTCTCCGATATTACGCAACGACGTAGATTAATGGATATTTTACAATGGTAATGATACATGCAAAACTGGACCTTCTTGTCAATAATATTACAACTTACCCTCGTAGCAATCTGAAATGCTATTGCGAAAAAAATTATTACTTTGCTATTTGTTGATTCAATTTCTTTAAGTTGTATTTGAATTTTTGTATATTTTTTTGTGGTCGATCACTGCAAAACACAATTTCATGTAGAATATTGGTTCCAAATATTGAAAATGTAACCTCAACTGATATCTGGGTACGCAATAAGATTGTGTAGACATTTTGATTCACAATTATTTTTCGAGTTTTTCTTCAACTTAGTTCTGAAGCTCTTTTAATTGTCAATGCCTTTGTATTTCTTAGCGTTTTTTAATTGCTCTCTACCTAGATACATTACAAGTTGTGATTGCCAGTGTCAGTTTTTGACTATGATTGTCATTGAAAGGACTGGTCAAGAATAGAATAAATAAACTTCTAATAAATCAAAATAGAACTGCAAGTATGCAAGCAGAATGCAAAATAGTTGCAATGAAAAATATTATCAATCTCTCACCAACATTGTTTATCATGTAATTTGGTAATTTTTAATAGAATTCTGTATCAACATTAAACAAAGATTACGCCAGTATTGGATGATAAATTGGTCTGTATACCTATTACAACATAATAAGCCACGAATAATGAAGCAAACAGAAAAAATATAAAAATACTCTTTAGTGCTTGTGTCTTGTTACAATAAAAAAATATATGTGTCCTCATGCACAATATTTTTATATCATGTCCTTTCCTACCCAAAAGAAGAAGTACAATTCTTGTTAATATATTTTTGTTTTGAACATCTTTATCGAATATCAATCAACTCGAGTATTATCATTAGTTTCATCCAAAAACAAATAATTTTACCAGCATTTGTTTCATCACGGTAGGGTCAGAGCAGTTATCTGGCTTTGAAATTGTGTTTCTGTGGAATTTAACTGGTTGAAATGTATCTTCATATTTTTAGTCTGAAGAATAAGTATGGTATTATGTTGAAGGAAATAAGTTCATTGTTTCGCGCATTATCAATTCTTATCTGACATGTAATACATAATCCTCTGCTTCTGCTATAATATTAAAGTAAATCATTTCATATACAATACGTACATGAAGAGTGTCATTAACAAGATTGTAAAACATGCCAAAAACCATTTTTCTCAATTGAATAACCCCGGACCAGTCATATTTAACTCTCCAAACTTACTTTGCGACAATTTAATATTGCAAATTCTTTCAATGGCTATTTTCAAATAATAATGATGATATTACAACTCGTAGATGAAAGCATCCTACACCATTTGGCTACTGGAGTCACGTTTCATTCTAAAATATTAGCACAAATTCTTACAGATCTGGTCATCGGAATTGTCGGACAAGAACAAAGTTCCCGTTCCGATCTTACTCTACTCGTTTGGAGTGGTGAAGTGGACTCGGGAGGAGCTGTATCCACTCGACGTTAAAGAATCGAAAGATGAGGCATCACCAATTGTCCGATCTACGGCTCTATCCAGGCTACTCTGCCAAGATGGTTGTTCTGAGTCATCGTCTATCCTGTCCCTTCCAGGAAGGTGGACAGGTCACTAGGAGACATCTCCTTTATATTGGCAGGTGTAGACCAAGACTCACCGAAGACACACTCTCTTTGGCAACCTTGAGGTGTCTCACGGTGGCCTTCACGAAGGTTTTGGAAGGTGCAGCGTCATTACTGTCGTTGCGTGGCTTCTTCAACCTTCTTGGTGTTCCCTCCATGGAGGAGCACAAGTGAGAGAGCTTTCCTGCAGGGGCAGCCGGTTCCTTGCCTCTATTCAAGGCGGAGCTCTTGGCGCCCGCCGCAGGAAGTGCCCTTGCTGTTAGAGGTGGAGTGGGGGAGGAGGAAGATGTACTTATAGTTGCTGCCACTCCTGCCTCCTTCGCTCTCTTTGTCCTTTTGGCTTCGGCGCCGCAAATGCGCTTACGCTTTGGCCTTTCTATTACAACACGAGGTGATCTACTATGTCCAGCCTCATTCCAAGCGGTAGATTGGGGTGGACATTTCTGTTCATCCCCAGGTGAGCACTTCTGTGTAGACTCGGGATTGGTTTTTATTTTTGTTCTTTCTGTTTTTGTGTTTGTTTCATTCATGTGTGTTCCGACGAGTAGCAAGGGAAGAGTTGGTCACCTCTGGTAGAGCCCCGCATTACTAGAGGTAGGCTGATTAGAATGAGGTTTCGCCCAATTCCCCAAGGGGATCATTCGTTACCGCATATCACCCTGTGGCTATTCAGCTGTCGGCACGATTCCTGACATCTTAGTTTGAGTAGGCTGGTCCACGGTGACATGTTTTGCAAAGGCTTCAAGGAAGTTTTAGTTCCCCTCACCCTACTTATTCCTACCATTGACCAGGAGTTCGGCGACCCCGTCCTTAAGGCTACATTGGCTTCCCAGACAAGGCCTCCAGTCCTCTGGACGTTCTCCTATCCGCCACCAGGGGACACGCCCGATAGGAAGCCAAACCCACGGGGTGCCCATTTCGTATTGTGCACTTTAAAAGTGAGATGACCATTTCCGACATTTTCTGGTTTTAGAACTCACCAATGAGATTCATCATATTGTTTATTCTATATTATTGCATGAGTTTGACACTGTTTTACCTTTTCAGTGTGAGTCTGTCACCTGGCACATATCTGTATAATTTTATCTGCTTTCAACTTGAGCTCATTCTCCATAGACCATCGACATGCTAGCTGTAAAGAACTATCTGAGACGCATGTAGAGTTATCATCAACATAAAGATGTAGCTTCTTGTCAGGTTATAATACTAAAAGAAGATCTTCTGTTAATATCATGAAGAAGAGCGGTCCCATCACATGTCCCTGTGAAAGATCACCAAATGTTTGTATTTCATCAGATGATTCATTATATTATCTCAACCTGCTGAGTTCCTACAGTCTGAAAATTCTTAATCAGGAGTAGTGCATTTAAATGATTGTCATATTACTTGAGTTTTACTAGGAGGAACTTGAGGCACGTAACTTTCGCCTCGTCCATATTTTAAGTGAGATCATCAGTACTTTGGTAATACTATGATTTTTTTTAAATCCCGACTGTACCTCTAATGAGATTTTTTTTATTAATGAAAGTTGAATTGGGTCTGGCTAGAGCAATGATCATTACCAAAATTTTATACAAAGTTAGAAGTATATTCATGAGCTCACAGACCAGAACTCACTGACAATAATTTTTCTTCACTTTGTGCAGATGATGTAAAAGATTTGATGACGTCAAAAATCCAAATAGCGTTGAATATATGATATTCAAATTCATGATCTCGATAAAAACACCTAGATTAAGTATTATCTCGACTCTTTCTGCATAGTAGAAACGAAATCAGAAGTAGGAATATTTTCTTGTTGAATGATATGACCTAATATTCAGAAATAACGAATAATGAATTGTTTCTCATAAAACAAACACAAAAATGTTATTTTGTAACCCCAAATAGCCATTCATACCCATTAAATATTTTGAGAGTGTTGGGGAAAAGGAGAAACCGATGTAAAACTTCTATATTTTCTATAATATTGTTACTCAGAAATAATCTAACCTAAACAAATCCTTTGCAGGCAAAAGCCAAAATCGCTCGCAAAGAAGAAGCCCAATTGGCAAAAGAACAACGTCCAGAAGATGATGGTGATATAGTTCCAGGTCCTCCAGATGGCGGATATGGCTGGGTCATAGTAGCAGCTTCTTTTATATGCAATATGGTAGTAGATGGCATTTCATACTGCTTTGGGATCTGCCTTTCCGAGCTAGTGCTTCATTACGGCGAAACGAAAGGAACCACCGCTTGGGTCGGATCTATTCTCACCGGGTGTACCATGTGCTTTGGGCCCATAGTTAGCGCAGTTGTTAATAAATTTGGATGTCGAATAACGTGCATCACAGGTAGTTATTTTTAGTTTGTATCTGTTCAGATGAATGAGCTCGGTGCTATTGAATATATCAAATTGATATATTTCATCAGTTCGGACTTCCATTGTCTAATATAATATAAACTGATTTGAAATCCCTGAAAAAAATTAAAGAGATTAACCGAAAATAACAATTTTTTTAAACAAAAACTGAAATTACAAAGAAATAACATACAAGCAACAACCAAAAAATATAAGAGAATTAAAATATTATTAAAAGCTGAAAATTAAAAAATTATACCAAAAAATGAAAAATAAAAATTAAAAGATTTAAAACCAAGTTACGTTACTACGTTTCGATTGTTAGTATCCACAATCGTCTTCGGGTGATAACTGGGCTTATTTCTCCGAGATCTGAATATTTATAGGTCATTCAAGTGCTTTCACCTATCTCCTCTTTCCTCTCTCCGCTTCATTGGTTTTAGCGGGTTTTATGTTACGTATCTCCACGCTAGCTTGGCTAAATGCGTTGCTGGACAACATATACACGGTTTCTTTGAATTTTCTCTTGAACCAGTGTTCCTCTTTGTGGATGATATCAGCTTGAACCCACTTAATATCATGATGAGTCCAAACATGCTCTGCTATTTCAGATTTCCTGGTTTCTCCTCGCTGTGTGTGTTTCTTGTGCTCAGCAATGCGGCAATGTCGGTTTATCTTTATTATTTTTTTCAGGGATTTCAAATCAATTTATATTATATTAGACAATGGAAGTCCGAACTGATGAAATATACCACGAAACTTTGTCAACCACCTTCAAACACAAAGCACAAAGTATGTGCTCTCCTGTTTTATCATTTTCCGAACAGAGGCAACATACACATTGTCTTCCGACAGACCGAGTCTCTGTATATGATGATTCAAATGACAGTGACCTGTAAGAAGACCTGTTAGACATCGTAGTTCATCCCTACTGTAGTCCAACAACTGTTTGGTATCAAGCTTCGAAGGGTGAATAAACGCCTTGGAGTGAGCCAATCCTGGAAGATTCTGCCAGGGGTCCATAAATCTTCTTGTCATCCAGGTGTTCAATCTTTGTTTGGCAAAGCCTAAAGTGATGCCAATGACAGGTTCTGGTCTGATGAAGCTGCTTGCAGCACCCTCCTTCGCAACGGATCAGCAGCCTCATTGCCTTCCTGGCCAGTATGGCCAAGAAGACAATGAAGGAACGAAGCTTCCAATGCCACTTGACTGTCCGGGAATATTTTTATTGACTCATGTATGAGGTTGGATTCTTCCAATCTCTCCGCACACAATTCAATTAGCATACATTTCCGCTTGAAATACAGTCGCATAGGTTTCTAGGCAGGTTGATATCTCTGAAGCCCAGTTCTTCCGCCATCTCACGCAATATTTGTGATGGGTCAGTCTCTGCCAGGGTCCTCAAAACCTCGATTACTGTAGGTCGACCGCTTCGGGGCTCAACTTCAATGCTGAAATCTCCGGCACGAAATTTTGCAAACGAATGTCGAAAAGTGCCTTTATCAACACTATAATTGCCAAATGTTAATTTTTCGAGCTGTTTCGGCAGCGGTTTGGTTCCATTTGAATTCGTAGGCCAAAAATCACTCAAAGACATCGAGATATGGAGCTACAAAAACGCATGACATCATCCATCAACTCGCAGAGAAAGCTACAGAGAAGAACCAAAAGTGATTTCGCATTCAATGGTCGATGTCAAATCTTGAATATGCCACGGGTACCCATTAGGACTACTTTCAAATTTGGATATTATTGCCTCAACTTTTCACATTCACAATAAATATTGAAAATAATTTTCAGTATATTCTGATGATACCAGCATAGGGGGCAAATATATTCCAGTTCTGTAACAATTTCTCTGCAATATCCATAAATTATTCATGAATGTCCAGGAAAAAGTTGAAAATGTCAGTAGAACGGGATTGAATTGGGTAAAAAAAAATATATGTCAATAACTCACTGGAAACAATGCACGTTGAGGATGTTTCAATCCTTTATTATTATCAGGTCAATCAACTTCGTCTGATTTATCTACTCATAACATAAAATGTTGATAAGATATTATTCTTATGACAAAAGTTATCAATAGAAGTGAGTTCGAATATAAATAAATATTATATAATATAATCTGTTCCCTAATGGGGAAAAGTATTAAATGCTCATTATTGCATTATGAATGCAAGACACTAACAGACTGGTCTAACAAAATTTTATTTCATTGTGATCTGCCCCAGCTTTCATAGATGGATTTATGAAACTTTACTGGGTTCACCCAATTTCTATATCACAAAAAGAGATTTTGTTGAAAATAAATTAATTAAATTCGAAACGTCGGCAAGAAAACAGTTGTTTTTTTTTAAGAAAAAATTGATTCTGTTACCCAACCTACTATTTTTTAGAATCATTTGAATAAAATTATCGGTAGACTCAAATACAGTGATGAGATATTTAAATAAAATCAGCACCAATGCTGTAGGCACTTAGTTTTGCCTTTTGCTTGTTGGAATATACCTATAGATTTTATTTGAAATTATGCCATTGAAATAAGTATATTTTCCTATCTCTGGAAACATGCCAAAATTAGACATTTAGAGAAGGGGTGGGACATGTAGAGAGAAGGGATGGGTATAGAGGTCACCCTAAGAAACATCCATTTTTTTTCACCCATTAACTTTCTTGAAACATTTTATAAATCCCTTCAACATTTAGTATGGTTACTTAAGCCTAATTCAAAAATAAAAACAACTAGATTTTCAAACTTATTTGCACAACATTTTGACAACCAATAGCTGTCAAAGTGGCCCCTTTATGCCACTAGGTAGGGCAAAGTGGCCACTGCCTAAATGGATTTTGGTAGTGTGGAAAAAATAAAACGCATTTAGTTCCAGAACTCAAAACGATTGTATTAAAATCTAAAAAAAATAGGCATTATTGAAAGTATGTGAAACTATGAAATTACTGGTATTGACATAAATCACAAATAAACTCATCGACCTTTTCTTCGGCTCCTGTGCAGGCTTCGTAGGCCCATTTTAGGCACCCAGAACATCTAATCCAGCCTTCGTTGTCCTTAGATTTCGAGTTACAATCACCACAGAATAAACAATCAACGTTGCTGACGTTGCCTTCATCATCATCATCATAGAGATCGTCATTATTTTTCTTAAACAATGCGCGTTTTCCTTAATTTTTCATTTTGGCCACCCTTTTCTTAGGAGCCTGCTGTTTCTTTTCAATTCCCCTTTCTCTTTTTGCTTCTAGTCTACGTTGTTTTGCATTATCTTCTTTTTCTTTCTCAATTGCCATGAGAGTGACCTTATTTGGACTGGATGTTAGAACTGTTATTGTTCCTTTCTTCCGCTTAGTTTCTCTTTTGATAATCCTATTGACCTTGGGTACAGGAACAATTTCACGTGGACTTACAGCAAATGAAGTGGACTTCTTGTTTGGTGTACTGTTCAAATTCGAAGTTGTTTCTAGGGCACCAGCTGATGAAGTGCTGGTAGGGATACCATTATGAAGGAGGTATTGGGGTTTTCAGAACCACCAATGAGTCCTGTTGAGCTACTGTTGTTGACAGTTTGAGATGAAGATGCAAAAACTTTTATGAAGGTGTTCTCTTCTCCTGGCGCAGGGTCTTCTTGTAGAGTTATTTCTGATGTTTCAGCAGCTGCATAATCCGGTTCTGTGAACACGTTTCTGTCGATTGGGGCGATTCCACATTTTCTAAAGCCTTTTATGGTGATGATTGGTGTAGTTGCCTTCAAAATCGTTTCATCAAGTAGCCGGAAAAATTGGAACTGAGTCACTGTCCGTTCTGGATTATTCCTTAAGAACTTTTCAATGCATTGTTCAAAATACGTATTGAAAGGTGCCATAAACGCAACGTCGGGTGGCTGCAGTTTATGACTGCAGTGGGGGGAATGCACAAAAAAGTGACATGATTGTCTCTGGCTTTTTCGATGAAGTCTGAGTTATTCGCGTGACTTGCATGACCAGTAGAATCGGGTCGTCTTTTGTTGAATTTGAAAATTTCAAGAAGTGGTCAAACCATGAGGTGAATATTTCCATTTGCATCCAACCAGTAGGATGACATGCAGATGTTATAAGTAGCCGACCTTTCAGGCAAAGACCTTGGACGACTTGGACTGGACTGTTAAGAGTCCAGTCTCATTAACATTGTACACCCTATGAGGTGGGAATACGTGATCTTTCTGGATGCCTTTCAAAATGTCAAAAAACTTCGATCATCAGTTTTGTTAAACGCTTGAGCCCGTGCAGCTGAAGTCGCCTCAGGCTTCCGTAATGCAATCATTGGGTGGCGTTTTCTAAATCCCTGTACCCAATCTTTCCCAGCAGCTTTTTTTTCATGACTGAAGTTATGAGGTATGCCATTTTTAACAGCGAGTTTGTAGGCAAGAGCCTGTAGCACCAAAAAAACGGACTTTCATGTCCAAGAGAAGGTTTCCTGCTCCTCAGTAAATATGGGCCGAAAGTGACCAAGAACCTTTTTTGTGTTTACTGAATGAACATTTTTGTCGAGTGCTCTGAGACTAGTCACGAATGATATTTTCAAATCGACTGACAAAGTAACTTTCACTTGCTCTACTATGCTTGACTAGAGTAAAGTATTCGACACTTTGGATCCATCCGTATTGTCTAAGAAACTGGAATGGGTGCGGTTTTACTGATGAAAAGCTATCTTTCTGAAATGATCCAAACTGTTCACCTTAATGGTAACCTCTCAAGCTCGATTTCGAAAAACTTCGGTGTACCACAAGGTTCTGTTCTCAGATCCCTCCTTTATGCAATTTATATCAGTGACTTTCATGAATTCATCTATCGTTCATTAAATGTCACAGACCTCACACAAGTTAATGATAATATTAATAAAAATCTTCAAATACTGTATGACGTATCTTGTTCACATAACTCAACCATTAACTCCAAAAAATGTCAGGTCATGTTATTTGGTTCTAGAATGCGGCTAGGTTGTATAATACCATTCCTAGGGAATACGAAGAAAGTCCACTGAAAAACTTCAAAAAAAGATTGAAAAGCTTGTTTCTCGCGCATAATGTTGTCTCACACGAACTATACGACTGTTTACTCAAAAAGCGTTAATTGCACTTGTTACATTAATAACTATTTTTCCTTTTTCTAGGGAGCATTATTGGATCAGCAGCATTCGCTCTCTCAGTTTTCTGTCCAACAGTATCAACGCTGATGATAGTGTACGGCTTCATTGGAGGTATCGGCTTTGGTTTAATATACCTACCAGCCGTCGTATGCGTTGGATACTATTTCGAATCGAAGCGATCCTTGGCCACTGGTATATCTGTGTGTGGATCAGGATTTGGGGCGTTCGCCTTCGCTCCTCTGGCAACGTTTTTGGTCAATAACTATGGATGGAAAGGTGAGATTATGATAATGTTCGAATGCAGGATATTTTTATTAATCAGGCTAATTATTAGTTAGTTAACTGAGAAAGTTTTTGAATTTGGGTATTAGTTCTGCATACGAGTCTGATAATTCAGTACTATCATACAACGGAGAGGTATTCGATGTCATATATTCGTATGATATTCAAAATTTCATTTTATGTTTTACCAGTTTCAGTGTTTGTTGTGGAATTCTGTGAAAAAAAAGTTTCGATAATATCTCTAATAGTGACTCTAAAACTATCAAAGTAATGATAAAGTAATTAATGCAATGGTTTTTATTATTTTTTTTTTAATTTTCTTCAAACTTCTTTCCTTCAAACCTCTCCCCTTAATGAGATTCTTTCGAGTTATTGGGTAAATGCCTGATCTCATTCTTCTCCAAATGCAAACATATGGTTCTAGAGTTTTTCTGACTAGGATGTTTAGTATTTAACGAAGGCTCAAAAGGTCATAACAAACTTTACTAACTGGTGGGATTTGTAGACGTCTCCATAGTCCAGGGCCAATATATTAATTTGTCGAGGCGACGTATGGAGAAGGCTCTGATGATGACAAAAAAAAACCAACGAAAAGCTTGACATTAAAGAAGAGCTCATTCAAATAGTATTCAATAAGACGTCTATGATGAAGGGACAGGGAGAAATATTTGTATAGAACTTTCGTCAATTCACAATACATAAAAACTGACTAACGCAAGACTAACGAGGTCTTACCTTTTAACGTGTGATTCCTAACACGAGTTGGACGATAACAAATGAGAATCAATCGTTCAGTAAGTGAACAAAGCACCCACGTCGAACCGACCGGCTACCGACCGACCATTCAGAAGAAGTGATTTGATTAATTTGTGACGTAAAGTTGAATTTCTTATCGAATTTGATGCCCAGATCTTTTAGTTTCTGTGCTTTGTTCTAATATGACATCATTTATTGCATAGTCAAACTCTATATTGTGTTTAAGGGTGTATTTCATGAATTTACATCATTGAATATTCAGTGAACGCGTGTTTAGAATGCATCATTCATGTATCGAATTGAGAATAAGACAGTCCTCTGTTGATTCAATGGATCTGAAAATATTCAAGTCGTCAACAAAGAGTGATATGTTACTACAGATTTTCGAAATAATATCATTCATAAACAAATAAAATAGAAGAGGAGCTAGATTACTTCCTTGAGGAGCACCACTAGTCGGAGTTAACTCAAGTGATTTGTGTCCTTTGTATTCCACAAATAGCGTACGATTGTGAAGATAAGACTGTAGCAAATTCAACAGTTGACTGTCGAGACCAACAAAAAAAAGTGTTTTTAGTATAATTTGATGGTTCAATTCAACCTTTGAGAAGTCCGTATAGATTGTATCCACTTGTAGATGTTAATTTAACGCAGTGCTGATGATTATGCTGCAAGGAGACGAAATAGAAAATTTAGGATATCCTAGTCAGAAACAAACGTCAAATATGTTCAAGAATCACATGACAGCTAATTATATTTACCACACAAACTATCTAACTACGAAGGGTCGATGATAAACAGACACCCCTAAAACAGCTAATTATATTTACCACACAAACTATCCAACTACGAAGGGTCGATGATAAACAGACACCCCTAACACATTGCTTGGCTAAAACACATGATATAAAAACGGGATTGGATAGAAATATACATTATGCATGTTAGCTCATGTGTCTTTTAACCTGACTATCTCTTTGGAATTAAAAAAAAATGTAGGGGTACCAAAATTATTTCAGAATTACCAAATCATTGGTAAGGAATTAGCAACGTGAAATATTCAAGAAATACAGACACCTCTATAAAAGGGCCTTCTGTAAAAAAATTGTAAAAACTGCTTCAAAACAAAATAATTTTGCTAAAGATCAGTAGATTTTTCAAATAGGAAAGAAAAAACGAAATGATCTCATGATGCTACAGTATTTCCCGATGATCTGAAAGATATGGACAAGTCATACGGTTCCCAAAGATAAATTCTCTTCAACATGAATTCTAAACTCTACATTTTCAAAGATATAATTGAATTGACAGGGGTATATTTTTAGAAAAGATTAATTTTTGTGAAAAAAGATTATGGTTTTCTACTTCTCCATCTCCATACAAAAAACTGTAGGAATCTTCCAGATAAAGAAAGGAAACATCAAATAATTTTCTTTCAGGTACTAATTTGTGTTTCGCTGGTATCATTCTGTGCTGTTCCATTTTCGGAGCTCTGATGAAACCATTAGAATTCGAAACTATTGAACCTGTCGAAGAAGTTACAACCCCCTCACGAAAATTATCGGTGAAAATCGGGATTCCGAGAAGTAATACCAGTGAGGTGAGTTTAATCGATGAAATTTTGATTTTTAATATGTATCTAGCACAAAACTGTGTGAAAATGTTAGAAATTGAATACGATTGAAGGGTTGTACGAATTTGTTATGTTTTTTGTTTCCGGCATATTTAGGTGAAGCTTTCATGTGAACGTAACATACTGAATATATCATGTTGACATATTCAATGCATGATCATACATTGTGTGATTCTTATAAAAAAAATATTGACAAAACAGGTAGGAGATAGGTTAAAGCCTGTATTTCCAGCGGAAATCTATGCTATTGATTTATGGGCGGAGAGATTGACAGAATCCAACCTCATACACAAGTCAATAAAAATATTCTCGGACAGTCAAGCGGCGTTGAAGGCTCCTGGCTCCTACCGAGCAACGTATGAATTGATAGCAAATTGCCAAAAACGACTCTCCCCAATAAGAAGATTTAACAAATTGTCTCTGGTCTGGATTCCTGACAATACTGATCTGGAAGGTAATTAGGCTGCTGACTCTCTTGCTAAGGAGGGTGCTGCAAACAGCTTTATTGGACCAGAACCTGCCATTGAAATCGCTTTAAGCTTTACCAAAGAAACATTGAACACCTGGATGGCAAGAAGATCAATAGACTTCTGGCAAAAATCTTTAAAGATTGGCTCACTCCGTCGCGTTTATTCACCCTTCGAAGCTTGATACCAAACACTTGTTGGACTATAGTGGGGGTGAACTACGATGTCTAACCGGCCTTCTCTAATGGCCACTGTCGTCTGAATTATCCTTTGTATTATATGTTTAGAGAATGATGAAACAGCAGAGCACATACTTTTTGCCTGCCCCGCTGCCGACCTAATCAAGTATTTTATTCATATGGTATTTGAAAAAGGGCGGAGATCAATAATGCAACAGTTTGCATTGCTGCTATTACACTTAACCCTTGGACAGGTGGGGTAGATAATATATGTAATAAATATAAACACGTGGAATGCGGAATATAGATATTTGGAATACCTACATACTAGGGTATTCACTTCTTATTCAATAATTTGAAGAAGAAAAATCAGCCACCTTCAGTGAATTTTATATATTCCATATAATGGATTCATCATATACACAAGCATGTTTTTTGTATGAATATTAGCTCTGCGCCTTCCACAAAACCCTACATTTCGCCACTGTAAACTAATATACAGTGCATTTCTTTAATATCTCCCCCCCCTTTTATTTTTTGAACGGGTCAATTCACAAATTTGAAATTTGGGATGATGAAATTAATGCATGAATACTTTATTTTTAAGTGAACTTGACAGATGAAACTTTCAAGATGGCTACTGGAAGACATCTGGAAAAAAAATAAATGGAAAGGGAGGGTGTTGTGACACATATTTTTGAAGCTCCTGACAAATGCTTCACAACCCTAGAATATGAAGTCAATATCTTCAACTACTACAAAATGGTGGAACTTTGAATTATTGCCTGAATACATTAATATTTAACTACATAATATGAGGTAATTAGCTTGAGGTGAGCTTTTTGACATATGAACAGCCTACCTGACATTTCATGCCGAACATTTTAGAACACAGTAACATCAATATCTCTACCAATATTTATTATTCTCTGCTGTATATCTAATATTGAAGTTCAGTTTCGTACACCTTTTGCTTCAAATAGCCCAATAAAAAAAGTCCAAAGGTGTCAAATCTCGCGAGCGGGCTGGCCATTCTGTAGGACCTCGACGGCCAATCCAACGACCGGAAAAAAGAGTATCCAAATAGTTTCTTACTCGTCTGGAGTAATGTGGTGGTGCTCCATCTTCTTGGAATACAATATCGATATCGAATTTATTAGGATTCGCTTCGACGATTTCAGTGATGAGAGGGTCAACAGTAGTTTCCAGCATACTCAAATACAGTTCCCCTGTTGAATTTTGATCAATAAATAGAGTTCCTGCAATACGGTTTCCCCATATTCCTGCTCAAACGTTAATTTTTTCTGGACATTGAGTAACGGCAATTTTGTCTGTGAACATTGCCGTTGAAAAAACTCGTCACTAAAACAAATATTCTGGAGATAGTTGGAATACCTTGCAATAAATCACGTCATGATTTCGCAGAATTCTGTTCTTCGATCAGGGTCATCTTCAGTTAATTGGTGTACAATTTTAATCAGAATTTACTACCATCTCACCAATTATTTGCACTTGCTGTTCTTCCGAAATGGACGGATGACCTGGGAACTTTTTGTTATGTATACTACCGGCAGTTGTGAATTGGAATACAAGTTCCTTCAAATATTTTTTACAGATAAGACGGTTTGGAAAACGTTCAATGAAAATCCTTTCGATCTCGTGAAAGTTACGCGTCGCACCGTAAAAAAAATCGCTTCAATTTTTTCTTCCAATGGACGAGAATTGACCATTTTAGAGATTGTTGATGTGGTTCTACTAGTAAAACTGAAAACTAAATGAGAATATTCTAACTGAAAAATAATGGTCATTGTAATACTAACATTTTTTGTCGTTTTCATAAACAAAAAATAACTTAACAAACCTTATCGAGTTGTTGGAGTTGCCATATGGCATATGAAAAGGAATATTTCTAGAAATATCGATATTAATGTGTTTCTCTTCAGGAAATTATTAAATGTTCCGCCATTTTGTAGTTGGTGGAGATATTGACTTCATATTCTAGAGTTGTGAAGTATTTGTCAGCAGCTTCAAAATGATGTGCCACAAGACCCCCCTTTTCATTTATTTTTTTTTCAGATGTCGCCCAGTCGCCATCTTGAAAATTTCAGCTGTCAATTTCACTTCAAAATAAAGTATTCATGTATTAATTTAATTATCCCAAATTTCAGTTTTTTCAGTTGACACGTTCAAAAAATGAACTGTATGCCAAATTCTTTCAGGATATGTGTCGAAAATATTTTGGTTTCGTCCATCATATGAAGGAAAACTGTTTTATTCAAACTAATAGTATAATAAACTAATAGTAACTAATAGATGTGGAATTGGCCGCGGCGGTAGTGCGCCCGACTCACGATCGGAAGACCGTGGGTGCGATTCCTGCCTCGACCAGATATTTTTCTCGAGAGAATTCATCTGGTTGAGGCTGGGATGATTCTGCAACCGTGTTAGGAATCACACGTTAAAAGGTAAGACCTCCTTAGTCCTTAGTTCGCACAAGTTTCTCAACTTCTGAGAGTTGTCGTTCGTATGGGGGCGACAGCTGACTAATGGAAAAACAGATTTTAAACAGGTTTAAACAGATTTTTGAACAGATATCTTTCAAACCACCTTCTCTTATGTGCAACTGTTTTTGTTTTAAGAAAGCCTTCCAGTTATTCTTGTATTCGAATCCTTTATTTTCAATATACTGTAATAGATTCTTCCAAACAATTTGGTGGCTTCTGGTTAATTTCAAAACTTTAATGAAGTCTGATTTTTTCATTCAGATTCATTCATTTGAATAGCTACAACATTGATACAGCATTGTTCTTTTCTTTGGTGTAATAGCCGAAAATTCATTGAAACTCAAACGATAATTTGGCCTATCAAACAAATACTCAAAATTTGTACTCCTACACTGAACATACGGAACATATTCTTTCAATATTCATACCTGCCACAGGTAGCTAAAGAAACGGTCAGTGTGTTATAGTTTGACCTAAGTATGAGTTTCTTGCCCAGTGAACATAATTCAACTACTTGTGATGCACTGTTTGGAACTATTGGTATAGTAATAAACATTACTGAAGTTTTATCCCAACACCAAACCGTAATTTTACCACCTGGAGCTTTCTCCCAACACCAAACCGTTATTTTAACACCTCGACACGTGTTTCGATCACCAAGTGATCATCTTCAAGAGAAAGATTAAACTTCCTCTTGAAACACGAGTTGTGGTGTTAAAATATTGGTTTGGTGTTGGAATAAATCTCCAGTAATATTCATAAGTCAATTACTTCACAATGATTGCTGTAATTCTACTTGTTTTCTCGTCGTTTATCTTGGAGCGATCTCGTTAGATGCTCACAATTTGATACGCTCACATTTATTTCAAATGTGCTATTTATATCTCATTACCAAAACATAGAACAGAAAAAAGCACCCTAAAAGTACCAGAACTCTACAGTTCTGCTTGTTCAAGTGAATGCAAGTAACCACTTGCACTCTAATTTATTTTTCATAAAATCATCAGGAGGAATTTTGAAATTTGAAAATAACTATAAGGCGAATCACAAGCACTTCTACACATCTTACTCGTAGTACTAGTTACAATCATTTAATCGACATAATATGTTTAGGGGCCGCTGGGAAAGAACTCCGTATACAATTCTACCTTATCGGTTGGCGTGAAAAACAATGTTATCCAGCCCTTAGCAAGAAAAGATATATTTTATTCAGGATCTGTCACGAATTTAAAGGAATTCCAGTCGCAAGCAACGCTCAACAGCTACAGGCAAAGCGTCCTCAATATTTCAAGGCCAAAATGTAAGTATCAACTTATGTCTCCTAATGTGGAATAACCTAAACCTAAGTAAGGTTATTATGTGACTTATAAATGGTTGAATGTTTTATTGAAGATTGATTTGCTGAGAGTATAAAACTTGAAAGCAGTGAACTGATATGAAAAACATAAATTGGTGTAAGATGTCCTTCTGAGGAACAAAATTGAAAAGCTTATGTAAATCATATCTCATCAATAAATAGAAAAAGAGCTGTTTCTTCAAATGAGGATTACGTATTTTTAACATCATGTTTCATTTTGGATACAAAGGTTCATTCCACGAATTTTCCAAAAAATTTTGAGTCATTCACTTTTCCTTAAAAAAGGACTATTCTAGAAAGTGAAAATTGAACATCATTTTTCACTGGCTTGAATGAAATCAGATGGAATGGAAACACGAAATAACTTTTTTTCAGCTTTCCTACAAGAAGGACTTAACGAATACCCATCGAAAAACAATCAATTGTTAATTGTTAGCATAATACTACTTCACGAAAAAAATTTTGCATATGTTTCGCGCTCTCCAGGATAAGAGACTCATTGAAATTATTAGAGCAATCATCTTGAAATCGGTTGCTCCTCATCGATACAGGACAGATCAGGACAGATCTTACCAATATAGCATTTCTATATATTTTCTCGAATGATTTCTTCAATACAAATTATTCGTTTTGAACGAAATCTTTCACCTACAAAAGAAAGGTGCTAGTTTTATCTTATTGAGAAAACATCGAACGAAAAAAGCAACCTAGAAGTACCAGACCTCTTCAGGTTTACTTCACCAAAGACATTTTAATTTTAAATGAGACTCAGTAGTTTATTTCACATTTTTCTGTGTTATAATCTTCTCAGTCTTCTTCTAATCCACCATGGTACCGAGTCAGTTAAGTTTTCATGACTGTTTTCATGGAATGTGTACTAGTTTTGAGTCAATAAAAATGATGAATCAAAGTGCCCTTTGCAGACACTGAGATGTATAACCAATTATTCTTAGGTTGATGGTGCTAAAAATATTGACTCCAATATTCAGTATATGCTAGTGGATTCCAAAAACTCGAAGTAGTGATCCAAGATCACTTTGGTATTTATGCAGCCTGGTTTGGAATTTAGCTTCGCTGACGGTCAACATAGATTAGTGAATACTTTTTTCTATCAGTATTTTATGAGGAAAAGTAAATCTCTCAGAAGGTTTTTATGTCAAATAAAATGCTTTCATCAAAGACTTTGACATTGACTTAGACTTTGGAATTTTAATGCAGACTGAAATTGCTGTCGAGAATCATCTAGCTTAACTGATAGTCTTTATTCTACTCGGCATCATCCACTATTCCAACATATTTATATAAAGCAGAATTGAAGAACTACTGGACCCTTCAAACTACCGCAAACTTAAACGGGACCCAAAACAATCAAGATTGAGGAAAATTGACAAAATAATTGAACCTTCTTCACTGCCGAAAACCGTACAGAGTTAATTGTATTAGTTTGAGAATGTCCATATAGGACGAAACTGCATTAACGTTAGTTTCAATAGAAAGTGGTGAAAAACATAGAAATTTTCATTTCTCTTTTCATTATGATCTCCTACCACGTAGTAACGGCTACATCCATTAATTTATCGTACAGAGAATCATTCTCAGAACAGTATCCGTTCTACCCAGGCTCTACGGACTTCCGAAGGTACATAAAACCAACTTGTCACTGAGACCGATAGTCCACCTGGCAAAGCATCCCGCATCGCTTCTCCAGTCTCATGTGAGAAAAACAAACTCCTACGTCGACGATTCAATATAATTTGTTGGTAAAATTAGTGACTTGACTCTGAAGCCGACAGATATTGTTTACATCCTTGTTTACCAATGTCCCACTGGAAAACTCTCTGAGGGGGCCAGCCTATTTGTTTCCGAGTAATATCGTCGGATTCTTCAGAGCATGTCTCACGGAGAGTTTATTTCAATGAAGGGGTAACTTGTATGAGCAACAAGATTGCGTGGCAATGGAAAGTCCAATCGACACCTTTGAATAAAAACCGACCTTGTGGCTACGTTACGTGAAAACATGAAAAGGACGCTCTTAACCTTTTTCTATACCACTTGAATACTCAACATCCCAGCACCAAATTCACCATAGAGACTGAACAGGACTAACGGATAGCATTCCTAGATGTTTGTTTGAAGGTGGTTGACAATGTTTCGTGGTGTATTTCATCAGTTCGGACTTCCACTGTCTAATATAATATAAATTGATTTGAAAACCCTGAAAAAAAAATTATAAAAATTGATAAGATTAACCGAAAATAACAATTTTATTAAACAAAAAACTAAAATTACAAAGAAATAATTTCAGCCTAATTAAGGTTTTCAAAAAACGGCAATAGTCAGATTGTGTTAATGAAGAAATTATGTAACTGACACATGTCTGGGGCGGTCGAATACGTTTCTCCCAACCGCCGTAATAACATAGAGGTTCCATATTTTTTTAAATTCAATTTCTTGGCTAAAAATCTACTATTGAAGGCGACCAAGTTGCCATCTTCAGGAGACGCAAACAAATTGTTCGAAGGATGATGCCGTCTCTATAAATCTCAGATTATATTATTCTTATATCGATACTAATTAATCCATTTTTAGATTATTAATAATTCAAATTTTCTTGGTTTTAATACATTTTGCAGGTCATTTACTCTAATCACTTTGCAGATGCACTATACTCTACGGCACACCAACAATGTATGTAGACTTGATTGACCTACAGAAAAATAGAAAAGAAAATTTACATATTGAAATGGCACTCACAGGAGGAGCATCATGCTCCCCCCAGTTGTTCAAGGATATATTGAATGTATTACAAGTAAAAAAAGTGAGGGTGAGTGGATTGAATATTTCTACAACTTCATCAATTTTTCTAGTCTCATTCACCATTTCTTTCAGAATGACGATACGTAAACATGCACCATTTAGATCAAATCTCGAAGCCAACCGATAAATCTCCTCAGTTCGGACTTCCATTGTCTAATATAATATAAATTAATTTGATAATCCTGAAAAAATCAAAAAGATCAACCGAAAATAACAATTTTAATAAACAAAGAACTGAAATTACGAAGAAATAAACAACCAAACTAATAAAAAATAAAAAAATTTAAATATTGATAAAAGTTGAAAAAAAAATAAAAACATTATTAACAAAAAATGAAAAATGAAAATTATAAGATTTCAAACCAAGTTATGTCACGACGTTTCGATTGTTAGTATCCACAATCGTCTTCGAGTGGTAACTGGACTTATTTCTCCGAGATCTGACTATTTATAGGTCATGCGAGTGCTTTCACCTATCCCCTCTTCACTCTACCCCCTTCATTGGTTTAGCGGGAGATGACCGTTTGGCGGGAATTGGTCGTTTTTTGCTTGATTAGAGGTTTCCATATGTCACGTATCTCTACGCTGGCTTGACTAAATGCGTTGTTGGACAACATATACGCGGCTTCTTTGAGTTTTCTACTGAACCAGTGTTCCTCTTTGTGGATGATATCAGCTTGAACCCACTTGATATCATGTTGATGAGTCCAAACATGCTCTGCTATTCCGGATTTGCTCGTTTCTCCCCGCTGTGTGTGTTTCTTGTGCTCAGCAATGCTAACTTTCAATGGCCTTTTAGTTTCACCGATGTATGATTCTCCGTACTCGCAGGGTATCGAGTGGATGCAGTTCTTGGAAACGCAGTCCGCGTTTGGTGGCCTGATTTTCGTGAAGCTGCCTCGGATAGTGTTCCCAGATCTGAAGCAGGTCCTGATGTTATACTTGGATCCAATCCTTCTTATCCTTTCCGATAATTCTCTGATGTACCAGTTCTTGTACTTCCCTACTCCAAGTGACCTTGAGATTGAATGGAAACAGTGTACCCGAGATCAACAAGGTCATGAAACTGAAAAGTTATACGGTTCAAAATAGAGAGAAGGCTCAGATGGTTGCACGTGCGTGTCTACCGTATATCCCTAGGGTCACAGACATAATTGGAAAACTTTAGGGGAAACACCATATTAAAACTGTTTTCAAACTCATCAAGAAGATACAACAAAGTCTCAAGTCGGCTTAAAACAAGAGAGACTCACTATCAGCAGCAGGAGTATTTGGCATACCGTGCACTTGTGTAAAGTTATACATGGGAACCACCAAAATATCCATGGAAACAAGGCTGAGAAAAACTACAGACTAGGCCAAACGGAAAATTCGGCTGTGGCTCTTCCTGTTTATGAATTTCTCAACAGAACAACTTGAAGATGTAGGAAAATAAGCTCATTTCCCTCAGGGTAAACCTTCACTCTGAGCAAATTCAACTGTAGCACGTCTTCTGTCGGAGTATTGTAATTAGTACATTCAACCCATAGGAGCTACTCTTGCTATGTCATGTTCCAAAGTCTCAATTTTTCTATTGGTTCAAGAAATATTCTCTATATTCTAATTTTCCCAATCACTTCCTGAATATTTCAACAGTATTAAGAGTGTTTCGTTGATTTTTTGCAGCTAAAAGTTCATGTCTACCAGAAAGTCTCAGCGATACTCTTAGCCAGCTATTGGACTTCAGTTTAGTAAAAGACCCTGTCTTTATGGTACTGGGAATATCCAACATTTTTGGTATGGGTGCACTATATATACCTTTTGTATACCTGGTGGAAAGTGCCAAAGCTGAAGTGAGTATAAAATATTCATTCATTGGCAGTACATATCAAGAAGATGAATTTGATAACCCCTTCAAATTGCGCTTAAATATTCTAATATATTTTTTCAGGGTATCGATGCTAGCAGTGCCTCTTTTCTAATATCCCTCATAGGAATTTTGAACACAGTTGGTAGGATAATTTTCGGATATATAGCTGATTCGCCAAAAGTTGATTCTTTCCTGGTCAATAACTTGTGTTTAATCATATGTGCGATTTCAGTAGCCCTAACTCCTTTTTGCCATACTTATGCAACTTATGTCATGGTCGCTGTAGGATTCGCTATTGGAATTTGTAAGTGAACTCATTTGTGATTACTGTTATTTAAGATTTGTTGAAAAAGTTTTTTGTAATGTACAATTCTATAATAGAAGGCACTAAATTCTCAAAAATATTATTGCATTAAAATGAAAACGTTGTCAAGGTTGTGATTCTATTTATTTCATCATTTTTTCCCATCTGGTTAGTACGCCACTGCAAGAGACAGATTAAAACAAAAACATCAGCCATTTCTGAGAATTCAGTGTCTACTATTTTGGAATTATAGTAGAGAGGAGTGCATTATTTGAGGGGGATATAGTGTTATGAACAAATAATATAATAAATGGATTTATAACACTGAATACAAAAATCTCACAATGGCTTTACAAACAAACATTTTGAGATCTGTGTTATCCAGCAGGTTCATATTTCAATATTCAGTTATTTCTCATCACTTCAAGGTGTAAAATAAAAGAAAATTGTTAATAACTCATAACACCTGATCGGGAAATCAGTAGATCTTGAAAACTCCAAGTACTGTATTGAGAATGATCTCCATCGGGTGATTATCGACCAAACTTAATAATAATCTTAATTAATCCCAACAACAAGAATATTTATAACACGGATGAAATTTGAAATAATGATTAAACAAATTATTTCAATACTAACACATCACCTTAACGTACAGCACATAAATACAAACACATATATACACATATACATGCATAGGTATATACATATACATATATAAATATATACATAATTAAATTATAGTGATATTTAAGAATAAAAAATGTAATATGGCGGTCAGAATTTTAATTAGAGGAAGAAAGCAGAAACTTTTTCAGTTCCGATTTGAATTTTGTTTTTTGGTTTATTTTTAGTTTCTCTGGAAACTCATTATATGTTTTAACTCCTAAATGGAATATTGATTTCTCCCCAAATTTTAAGCAATATGATTGAACTAGTAGTTTTTTTGCTTGTCTTAATCTTGTAATAATCATGGATGGTATTTATTTGATGAATGAAATTTATAATTGAAAAATGGACTGAATATCTAAAAGATCACGTGGTATATACAAAATTGACGTAGGTTCAAGATATGGTAATTTGAATATACATTTTATTATTTGATTTTGCAGTTTCTTGGGAGGATTTATCATTGATAAATTAGCTGTTTCCCAAATTAAAATAAATACTGAATATTTGGAAAAAATATTAGTTGGTATAAAGAATGTTAACTTTCACAACCGGAAATAACTGTGTGTTTTTTGGCCCTAATCTGCAGGTTTTTATGCCAAACGTTTCATTTACTACTGCGGTAGACATCATAGCAATGTGATCGCAATGCCCAAGTTGGTGCTTGGATTGTTTCCATTGTTCCACAGTAACTACGATAATGGTATTTGGCTCTGATTTTATATCATTATTAGTAGGCATGACTTGCTTTCTCTTAATTGGATACCTGAGAATTATCAAGTATGCCCTAGTCCCTAGTAAGTGGGCATACTGGAGATAGGCCAAATAACCTGAAACAGGTTCACAAGTGTGCCCGTTCCAATAACTGAAGATTGATTCCGGCAGTTGTATCGCCAAAGGCATATGCAGGAATTTCTTCTGTGCAGAATCTTGCACTGACATCAGTCGGATATAATGCAACGCCCTTCGTGGTAACCAAGAGGGTAGTTGTTTTCTGATAGGTGTCAGTCCAATAATCCACCGTTTAGTTAAGTAGAAATTGGCCTGAACGAATTATTCTTTCAGATGACTTGATTTATAGCCAGTAATTGAGTATACCCACTTAGGGTAGGGTTAGGTTGGGTCCAAAGAGAGTGAGCCACGATAAACACGCAAAGTTTTATTGTGGCCCACACCTATTCACACTCGACCAAATAATCCCAGTTTCTTAACTAAGCCGATTAGTTTGTATGGTGAGTGGTCTTTCAGGTCAAAAGGTAACTCTAAAAACCTGATTCGGTACCCGCGGGGCGAGCACAAAGTATGTGCTCTGCTGTTTCTTCATTTTCCAAACAGAGGTGACATACACCGTCTTTCGACAATCCGATTCTCTGCATGGGATGATTCAAATGACAGTGACCTGTGAGAAGGCCTGTTAAACATCGTTGTTCATCCGTACTGTAGTCCAACAACTGTTTGGTATCAAGCTTCGAAGGGTGAGTAAACGCCTTGGAGTGAGCCAGTCCTGGAAGATTCTGCCAGAAGTCAATAAATCTTCTTGCCATCCAGGTGTTCAATCTTTGTTTAGCAAAGCCTGAAGCGATGCCAATGGCAGGTTCTGGTCCAATGAAGCTGCTTGCAGCACCCTCCTTTGCAAGGAAGTCAGCAGCCTCATTGCCTTACAGGCCAGTATGGCCAGGAATCCAGACCAGAGAAGATCTGTTAAGTCTTCCTATCGAGGAGAGTCGTTTTTGTCAATTTGCTACCAATTTAGATGTTCCTCGATAGGAGCCAAGAGCTTCCAACGCCACTTAACTGTGGCGAGACTATTTTTATCGACTTGTGTATGAGGTTGGATTCTTCCAATCTCTCCGCACACAATTCAATAGTGTAAATTTCCGCTTGAATAACAGTCGCATAGGTTCCTAGGCAAGTCGATATCTCTGCCCTGGGTGTGCGACTGAAAACACCTGCACCAGAACCGGAAGGTGTTTTCGATCCATCTGTGAACTAGCCTTCTCTCGGAGGATGTGTGAAATATATTTCTTCATACGATGATTTGGGCCATTCGGATATACGGTTGGTGAGTACTCTGTCTATGGACAGATGAGACAATGACAGATATGCTGTTCGTTGTTCACTTCAGCTTTGTTCGAGGTATGATGCTCTGAAAGAATTTGATTTTCAATTATGGGAAGTTGATTATGGCAACTACCTTGTACTGTGAAGAGGTCAAATAGCCCAAAACCGGTCTGCAAGTGTGACCGTTTTAATAATTGAAGATCCATTTCGACAGTTGCATCGCCAAAAGCATATGCAGGCAGTTCTCATTGAAGAATCCTGCACTGATACCTGTCGGATATAATCCATCGCATTTCTTGGTTTTAGCCAGGGGATACGTGTCAGTCCATTAACCTACGGTGTACATCAGTAGAAACTGGCTAGAACGAATTGTTCCTTCAGATGATATCACAAATGGCATAAAAACATAGTAAGTTTCATTTCCCATTTTTTTTTATGATCTTTTACCACGTAGTAACGGCTACATCCATCAATTTAATGGTTTGATTTTACTTCAAGGGATTTTTCAATTCAGTCGATGCCACAACCAAATTCATATTCTAATTCGTTCGTCGTGATTATGGCAAGGAATTATATAGATAATTCAAAAACCTCTCTATTATTTCCAAAACGATTTTATGCACATTGTACTATAGATACCTACGAGGCGACAGTCTCAAAATCGAACCCGCTGTAAACATAGCAATATTTCCTCGTAGAAGCTGACTGGCTTTTTTTTTCAGCTGGATATATCTCTTTAACCTCCATAATTCTGGTTGAACTACTTGGTCTGGACAAGCTAACTAATGCCTTCGGATTGATCATTTTGTTCCGTGGCTTCGCCGCTTTTATTGGATCTCCATTGGGTGGAGCTCTGTATGATGCTACTCAATCGTACAATGTCCCATTTTTTGTAGCAGGCGCTTCGTTTGCTATTTCAGCAGCTATCAGCTTTGCTGCACCCTGTTTCAAGAAAAAGAAGACTGTAGATAATGATGAAGCTCTCACGCCTATGAATGCTTAATCAAATGTATTTTGTACACGTTTCTTTCAAAGAATAAATGTTATTTATTTCAATTGTTACATTCAATTTTCCAGCTTGTTAGCCAGTGGAGGATCATGGATGATCTTCAAAGGCCCAAGCTCAAAAAGAAAATGTTTTTCCGAAAAACTTTCTTTGTTTGAAAATCATACTACGAAAAAGTAATGGAAATTTTCGGAAATGATATACCAGAATATTTAAAAGAGGTTCATTCAGGAATAAGACAAAATATGTGAGCTGAGGCTCCAGCGCATTTATTGGCAATATTGGCAATGATCTCCTGATGATAGATGGTTTCAGAATATATAGGGCTGTTCGACGATCTAGGGGAGGGAGTTTATTAATCTACATTCAAAGTCAATTTTATGTTCTTAACGTGAACAACCTATATCAGATCATTCGCTGATTACCTGTAAACTTAAAGTACCTAGTAGAAATCGGACCCAAAAATTTTTCAAATATTTTAATGAAAGTGATTTTCAGAGAGATCTGTATAATATCCCCTTCTTTAGAATTTTTTATCAAGTAATATCGATTCAAAAACTTCTTTCTTAGTCAATAATCTAACAAACTTATTCGACAGGCATGCACCTTTCATAAGATCAAGGATGAGTAGACCCAGCGCACCGTGGATTACAGATACTGTAAAGGAAATGATATCTATTAGGAACAAAGCCTCTCGTAGGTTTAAACGGACGAAATCAGAAATTCATCTTCAATTCTATAAAGATTTGCGGAACTATGTGAATAAAGCCATCAAACCAGAAAAGCAGGCATTTTGCTCATTCAAATTCAATAATAGTACTTCCAAGTATATGTGGAAAACTCTAAAACTGTAAAATCAACCAGTTTTCCAGAAAATCTGAAAAACCCTAGGGAAACCAATGATTTCTTCATCAATTCAACACCACACTTGGAGCCGCCTGAAGAACTATTGAATTTTTACAGACACAACCGTCTCGTTAATACAGAATTTCACTTTAAAGAAGTTTCCGAAACTATCTTAAATAAAAAGACGAATGCAGCTGGTTGTGATGAAATAAATATCAGGCTAATCAAACTTTGTTGTCCACATATAATTGAGTATATCACCCATATTATAAACATTTGTCTCCTTGAGGGTGTTTTTCCGGCAACTTGGGGTAGAGCGCTAGTTGAAGTACTGTCAATAAATCAAACCCTGTTGAATATAAAGATCTTCGTGCTATCAGTATCCTACCTACTTTGTCAAAAATATTAAAGGGCGCGATGGTGAGGCAGTTAACAGAACATCTTTCGGAATTCAATATACTGCCACCTGTTCAATCGGGGTTCAGAAAAGGATACAGTTGCACAACCGCTCTCCTGCACGTTGTTGATGATATCATAAGAGCAACCGACGAAGGACAGTATACTATACTCATTTTGTTGGATTTCAGTAGGGCGTTTGATACCCTTAATCGCACACTTTTACTTGGTATTCTGAGATATATAGGGCTTTCGTGTACAGCTATTCGCTTATTAAAAAAATATTTGAGAAATAGATTCCAGAGAGTCTCTATTGACAAGAAGAGTCTAACTATCTTCCACTCATATCTGGAGTACCACAAGGCTCAATATTGGGTCCTGTGCTGTTTGCTCTTTACTCCGGCAATCTTCTTAGAAGTATTCAGCAATGCAACATTCATTGTTATGCGGATGATACCCAAATTCATTTGAATTTCCCGCCTCAAAAAACGAATGATGCATGCGAGATAATCAATAGGGAACTCGGTATATTCGTTAAAAATGCTATTGATCATTGTCTGATTATAAAACCCACGAAATCGAAGGTTATCTTATATGGACCCAATAATAAGCGAGTTGATGTTCTAAACTCAGTAGATATCAAAATTACTAATGAAAATATCGAAATAGTAGACGAAACCAGGGTTCTAGAAGTATTATTGGATTTCAACTTGAGGTTTGAAAAACATGTCAATGCATTAGTGCAAAGAGCATACTCATCCTTACGAGTTATATATGGTGTACGTCATTGTCTTCCCATTAGTTTGAAATCCTTACTCTGCGAGACTTTGGTTTTATCTAATTTCAATTATGCGAACTCCATTTATGGACCAAATTCAACCAACCAATATAAACAAAAAATTCTTGCCTTCGGTCAATATATGGAATAAGGAAGCGAAAAAGAATTTCCAACAAGATATGTGAAACGGGTTGGTTGAATATGGAAAACAGAAGATTTCTACATTCTGGAAATCTCTCTCATAAAATCATCCTTTCCGGAAGACCTATCTTCATCAGAAAATAACATTACGCACTGATGTTCATAATGTCAATATTAGACATCGAGGAATATTGTCCCCACCCCCATTCAGAACTGAACTCATCAGGAGATCGTTTAGTTATCAGATTTGCAAGATATTTAATCTCATTCCACCAAATTTCAACACAGGAAGTATCTAAACTTTCAAAATCCAACTTAAAAATCTTTTGTTCAGGACTTATCAGTAGGTTTTTATTCATTATTTTCACATAACAAGGTTGAAAACTGCCGCTTCCACCAAAAACTGTATAGACATTTTTTTAATATTTTTTTATACATTGTTCTTTTGTATCATTCAACAGGTACGCACAGGTATTTTTCAGGGTTAAGTGGAAGAACAACAGAGTAGCAATCTCCGCTGCCGAGTTGAACTTCGTCCTTTATTTTCTTTAATATATTTTGAAGGATTATTTTTATTTAAATGTATTAAAAGAGGAGATAATTAACACGTTATTATTATTATTATTATTTCGATAACAATAACGGTCTGTACCCTGGACGTTGGATTGGAAGGGGCCATGATGTAAACTATTTCTTGGCCAGCGAGATGCCCAGATTTTAACCCTATTGACTTTTGCTTATTCGAATTGGCTCTGGAATATCATCGATTGATCTCCAAACCCAATCTTCTGGATATCACGATATAAGTATTGATAATCAGAAGCAGATGTTGACATAACATGAGATACTGTGTCGTAGCCATTCATCAAGTTTTCCATGCCTGACGTTTCGTCTACTACTGCGGTAGATATATTCAACGACGGTGAGGTAACGATCGAAGTGCAGGAGTTGTTCTCAACGCTTTTTTTAAGGAGGGAACGTGTGTGTGAAAGTAGCGATTCACATTGGATTTGAATCCCTGGAGATAAATTCCATTTAAAAAAACGTTCACAGGAAGTTTATTCCACAAAAACGCAATTTTCCAAGCGGAAGAGTTCTGAAACAGTGAAGTTTGAGGTGTACTGAGTTGAACTTCAATGCGATGAGCAGCTACAGTCCGTTATGTACTTATTATATGTACCGCTCTTGGTGGAATCAAATGTGCCAAGTCACTTGAACACTTCCCGTGAAAGTAGTTATAGAAGAGAGACGGATCCCAACATTTCTTCGAGGTTCCAAACTATCAAGGTTGCAAGTGATATTCGCGGCTCTTTTCTGGATGGAATCAAGAAACCTCAGGATATGCTTACGGGCGGAGCTCCATACATGGTAACAATACTCCAAAGAAGGTCAGATCTGAGCTTTATGAAGCATCAAAAATTGCTGAGATGTATACAGTTTTCTGGTTCACAACAGTGTTCCAATCTTTTGGGAAGCAGCCTTTGCAATTTCAGCGACATGCTTGTTCCAAGACACATTGGTGTCCATTTTAACCCCCAATAAACTCCTTGATGCAGAAAGCGAAATTGTTTGTCCTGACATCATTATATCTGGTTTGGAGATATTTTTTTTGGAGAAAATCGATGCCTGGGTTTTTCTGGCATTGAATTGAATTTTTAGATCGTCATTGAGATATGCAACTTCCTGCTGCCGGTGACGTTGTGCATCCGCAGCTGATGTACTGGAATTCAAATAAAATGACGAGACAAGTGTGCTGTTATCAACAAAGCAATATATTGAATTCTTCGTTCTTGTCATCCCTGGGGAACACTAGCGTTGATGGTAAAACTATTCGAGAGAAAGCCATCGACGGCCACTCGCAGAACACGTTCTCTTAGGAAGCTGGAGAGCCATACACAAAAATGATCCGACATGCCATAGCATCGAAGTTTGGCCATCAAATCCTCATGCCACATACGGTCAAATGCCTTAGAAATATCAAGCGCAACAGCTCTTGAATCCTCATGTTTCTCGATTGCGTTATTCCAAATAGCAGGGGGGCCCACGATGCAAAATGGGGATTTACTCGAGCGTCATTGAGACATATCAGGTTGCAAAGCTCAGATGATAAGAAGAAAAAATTTTTATATAATATATACCTTTTCATCGGTGGGGGAAGCTGCTATAGATTATTAAATATGTTGAAAACTGTTGCATAGACATACTCGAGCGCGTCAGATTTTCTAAGGGGTTGTTGAGTGCAACAAAAAAAAAGCTCCCATTCAATAATCTGACACTTTCGATCTGACGCAAACTCGCAGTCATTATTAAAATATGCAAAAAAAATTCGACATTTTGAAATACTCAAGCGCGTCAGATTAAGATATATATGGTTCATCTTTATGTTTTAGACGTGCTGTCTCATAATCTGACGATTATCTAGAGGGATTCGCTTAATCTGAGAAAAACAATATTTCTTTTTAATTTTTTTCAATTCATTGAACTTAATTAATTGAAAAGATCAGGAAATAGCATGCACGTAGTAACGCGGCTACATCCATCGATTGATTGGTTAATTAATAATCGTCTTCATCACGAACGAGTCTCTGTGATCAGCTGTGATGGCGTCATGACAACAGAATTCAGAGTGGGGACGGAGTGAGAGAGTAATAGATAGAGAAAAAGTGAAAGAGAAATAGAAACTTGGAGAGAAAAATATAGGTATCGTACAGCTGCACGCATTAAACTTTATCGACGAATTTTTGTTATTTTGGCTTGCGGAAATCGTCAGATTATATATTTTTCGTTATCCTTGAATTATTTCCTTCAAAATAAAAAAAAAAAAAAGCTACGCTCAAGAATGTCGAAATGAAGTTATTTTTTTACAACTTTGCTGCCCTGCCCTTTCTT